CAGGCTTTGGAATTTTATTGGAATTTAGCTTCTGATTTTGGCTTTAAGTTATAAAACATACTTGAGGGTTTGCTGGTTAGATTTAAGTGCATGCTGAATATGAAAGAACATGAAATAATTGCACCCAGGAGTGCTGCTGTTGGTAAGAATGACCCTGTTTCCCCTCTTCTGCCTTAGAGAGAAAGTGGGGTAGGTCATGGAACCTTATAGAAATCCAGACGTTTAATATTACTTTCTGATATATATCAGTCCTCTTTGACATCTCAGGTACTTTACAGAAATTACCTACTGCAACCCCATCAAATTCTTGAAAGACAGAATATTGTAATAATTCAAGTTGACCTTTTTTAGTGGATAAAAGCTGACCATAAGTCACTAAACTTGTTTTCTTAAGTAATGTATTCTGCAGCACTTTAGCATTTAGTGACTATGGTCCAACACAGTCAGTATACATACTTTGAGTCACTGATTCTAATCCTGTATCTAGAAGTTTCATGCCTGATGTGATGAGCATGTCAAAAACAGACTGACTAGACAGTACTCTGGTGTGAGATCAGTAAAATAAGAAGAAAAGGGGGCTTTGATGACTTAAAAACATGTCTGCAGATCTGAAATGCTGGCTGAGTGACTTAGGTAAGCACAGCCAGGGTGGAAGCAAACCCTGGTGGTGAAGGGGGGGCAGGAACTAAGCAAGCAGAAGTGGACAGAATAATGGATACTCACGAGTGTCAGCTGTACCCGTGGGGCTTGCCCACTTCAGCACAATCCATAGGACTGATGCCTGTTTAGACTTCATAGGATTACAGATACCACTGACAATTGGATGAAAGATTTGTCTTCTTTCCAGAGAAAGGCTCAGATCTGCAGATAATTTCAGATATCCACAGATCCCAGGACCTCAAGATGACTAGGTCCCTGGTTATCAGTTATCCAGAATCACTTATTCATGTAGAGTAGGACTGATGGGGAAAGTGAGAAGGCAGGTGTCTTTCACAGGAAAGTGTCAGCCCCTGGGAAGGGCGGACTTTCTTTCCTCCTTACCTTCCACTCCATGCAGGTAGCCCTTCAGAGCAGAAGCTCCATTAAAGAGGAGGACTGATTTCACCACATAGTTCATTAGCAACAAATCAGGGGGATATTTCCCTCAAATTTGTTCTGACCTATTAGCAATATAAATATAACAAATGTACGAGGAGAAGCTACCTAATGATTACATAATTGTATGAGTCGGCACTTCACTGACTTCTGAAAAATTAAAGCAGATTTATATAAAGTATTGTCAAGTGTGGAAGTGAAATAGCAAATTTGTAAAACTCTAGGGTTTAGGTCAAGATGAACGAAATTGAGCTGCTGCCAACCAAACTGGCCTCCATTTCACGTCAATTATTTATTCAGGGAAAACACTGCTTTCCAGGCTAAACCAACAGTTTTGGAAACAAAAATTCGCTGTCCCATCCATAAAGTCATTTTTTCTCTCTTTACAGGATGCTCAGGGCAGTTTGAAATGGATGACACTGAGGTGAAAAGTGCATCTTATTAGCCAAGCTTTAGATTTTTATCTAGACCTGTAGTGAAAATATCCTATAAACCCTAGAATTCATCATACCCTTTATGTTTCCTCTCCCTTTTCATCACCAGAAACCAAAAACCAAATCAAACTGAAAAGCTACACAGAGCAAACAGTGAATTTATATGTATGGTCTTGAAAGGTTTTTAAGATCAAAACAGTACAAAATTTTAATACTCAGGTGTCCAGCAAAAAAAAAAAAAAAAAACCACTAAACCAAACTTAAAATTATTCTTTAAATGTTCCCAAATAGCTGATGGCATTTATACATGAACAAGAAGTGAGATGGGAACTTCTCTGGTGGTCCAGTGTCTAAGATTCTGTGCTACCAATGCAGAGGGTGCATGTTCGATCCTTGGTCAAGGAACTAGATCCTGCATGTTGCAACTAAAGATCCTACATGACAAAACTAAGGCCCAGTGCAGCCAAATAAATATTTTTTAAAAAGGAAGAGGTGATGGGCATGCAGAGGTAGCACAAGGCTGGTAAGGAATGAAACCCCATTTCTGCTCTCTGCATGTAAACCTCTTCTCTGTGACCAGAGGAAAACAGTTATTGACTGAAAGTGTCCAATGTTTACAGGTAATCAATGGCTTTGACAGTGTACAATTTTTCCTTCTGTGCTACTTCAGTTCAGTAAAATCACATGAAGCCCCAAAATGTCTTTTTGTAGCTCAGAAAAACATCACAATTCATGAGGTTAGGGAACACTGGCTAAGTTGGAAGCTTCACGCAGTGACGACCGTGTAGAATGCTTTAAGATGACTTCAATGATCATGTGAGAATATATTAGGAAAAAGAAAAACAATTTGAAAGCGGGTAGAATGAGCTATGCAATTACATGTCATTTGATTCTAAAGTCTGTGCTAAAAGCATGAATAGATGAGTTCTTTTGTGCAAAAAAAAATCTCCAAAGGAAAATATATATCTTTTTTCAAAATAGCCTTCCATGTTTTGTATGCCATTTCACTTAGGCAATTCTATTAAGGCTATGAATGCTCCCTGTCTACCCACAACACTTGCTTTCAAGTTATTGTTGATACAGCCAACTAGAGTTTCTGATTTTCTGATTCCATTTGTCACAATGTTTGCATTTTATTGGGAAGCCTTCAAAACACAAATGTCTAATTGCTTCCCTCGAGAAATGCATGACAAAAATCACACACCAAATGTAAAGGAGGTGAAGGTAAGCTCTGATTGCTATTGGAGGCATGAAGGTTTGGCACAGTGTGGGGTAAACAGAAAGAAAGAATTTGAATATTGAGGTAGAATTCTTTTTGCAGAAAATGCCCCAGGTCTCTCTGAGTAGTCACAGTAAGTGATTTGTTTTGTGAGCTTTTGTTTTTAGAACATTGATCACTTCTATATTCAAAGTGAAGAATCAGAACACTTCCCAGAGTCAGATATAAATGATCTTAGACTGTGCCACTGATACTACAAGTACGGATAAACAGAGAACAGGTTAGCTACTTTATATTTTAATGAACACAAAGTTCTAAGCTAAAATGGATAACAAACAAGGACCTACTGTGTAGCACAGGGAACTCTGCTCAATGTTATGTGGCAGCCTGGATGGGAGGGGAGTTTGGGAGAGAATGGATACATGTATATGTATGGCTGAGTCCCTTCACTCTTCACCTGAAATTATCACCACATTGTTAACGGGCTATGCCCCAAAACAAAATAGGGTTTCCCTGGTGGCTCAGACAGTAAAGAATCTGCCTGCAATGCAAGAGACCTTGGTTAAATCCCTGGGTAAGGAAGATCCCCTGGAGAAGGGAATGGCAAACCACTTCAGCAGTATTCTTGCCTGGAAAATCCCATGGATGGAGGAAACTGATGGGCTACGTTCAGGGAGTCACAAAGAGTTGGATACGACTGAGCAACTAACACTTTCAATACAAAATAAAAAGCTTTTTAAAAAAAAGTTCTAAGCTCATATTTAAAGATAATTATTTCTCAGAAGCAGTGCTATTACAGGGGTGCTATTTTTGATTGAGCCTCTCACCTGGATTCTCTTTTACCTTTCAATGGCTCCCTGATCACTACCTTGTGCCCAAATTGCATCTCAAGCTTCAATTTCCTCCTGTATTTCTCCATTTAGATATCTCATAGGTCCTCCAACCTAAAATGATCCAAACCAAATACAATATTTCTTCCCTAAACCTCAGCCTCCTAAGCACCACTAACCAGCGAAAGAAAGTGAAAGTGTTCGTCACTTAATCATGTCTGACTCTTTGCGACCCATGGACTGTAGCCTGTCAGGCTCCTCCGTCCAGGAGCCTGCCAGGCTCCAGGCAAGAATACTGGAGTGGATTGCCATTCCCTCCTCCAGGGGATCTTCTCAACCCAGGGATAAAACCTGGGTCTTCGACATTGCAGGTAGATTCTTTGCCCTTTGAGCCACTAGGGAAGCCCCTACTAACCAGGGAGTCACCCACAAAAAGTCATTCTCAACTCATGTCCTCACTAATAAGCATCAAGTTTCCAACACTGTACTTCCAGAGTATTCTACCTTCTGAGTATCTCTGAGATTTTTCACCTTCCCATCTGTTTCTATTCCCCCTGTGTTAGTTTGAGCCTTCCACCTTCCTCATCTAGAATTCTGTAATGAGCTTCTTCCTATAGAGGTTAATGAGTCCTCCAAGCCTTTCTTGGTTTCTTGGATATCTCAGTTGGTAAAGAATCTGCCTGCAATGCAGGAGACCCTGGTTTGATTCCTGTGTCGGGAAGCTCCCTTGGAGAAGGTATAGGCTACCCACTCCAGTATTCTTGGGCTTCCCTGGTGGCTCACAAGGTAAAGAATCCACCTGCAATGTGGGAGACCTGGGTTCGATCCCCGAGTTGGGAAGATCCCCTGAGGAGTGATAGTCTACCCACTCCAGTATTCTTGCCTGGAGAATCCCATGGACAGAGAAGCCTGGTGGGCTACAGTCCATGGGGTCACAAAGAGTTGGACATGACTGAACTATTAAGTACACAGCACCAAACCTTTCTCCACCCTGCTATCACTATACTCTTTCTAGAAGCAGAGTCTGGACGTGCATTACTTAAAATTCTCCCAGGCTCCTCACCATTTTAAGGATAACGTCAACGCAGGTCACAAGGCCTTTTTTCTTTCTTTCTTTTTTTTTTTATCTAGCCCTTGCTACCTACAGGCTCAACTCCCACCATTCTCATGGGTGATAATGAGACTCAAGTCTCATTTGAGATGGTGCTGTAAACAGACTTTATCTTTTTAAATAGTAGAGAGACACATTTGTTGAGTCATTTTTTTTCACTCAACATACCTTGTACGTAATTTTTAAAACCAAAATTTTATGTGACATATTCCTTTAAACCTAAATGAACAGCAACTTTAGACAGGTGAAAAAAAACTAAAGCAGAACAGTAACAGTTATAAAAAACAGATTTACAGGTCCAAAATTCTTACCCAATGTCTGCCGGAAAGTTATCCTCCAACCTCTTGCTGTTTGAATTGAATCTGTCTTGAACACCAGGAACATACTATTATTGCTGCTCTTAATACTTGGTGGAAGGTTGGAGCCACAGAATTGGCCAAGAAGGGGATCACTGATGTTAGAACCATCATAAACTGCCAAGTAGTCTTCAGAGCAGGAAGCCGAGGGAACAACATCAAAATCATTGAACCTGTAAAATGAACTTTGTTAATAATGATGTTCTCCATTTGTACTTCCATTAAATTATAGCTTTAGCTCTTATTTAAAAAAAAAAGGACAAAGGTTAACAAAGCATTCATGATTCACTTGCTAGGAAACATTAGAAACAATATACTATTTTGCTGATCAGTTCATAAGTTTAGAGGAAATTTTTTGAGAGACTAGAATATGGCAAATAGACGGGGAAACAGTGGAAATGGTGAGAGACTTTATGTTTTTGGGCTCCAAAATCACTGCAGATGGTGACTGCAGCCATGAAATTAAAAGACACTTGCTCCTTGGAAATAAAGCTATGACCAACCTAGACAGCATATTAAAAAGCAGAGACATTACTTTGCCAACAAATGTCTGTCTAGTCAAAGCTATGGTTTTGCCAGTAGTCATGTACAGATGTGAGAGTTGGACTATAAAGTTGAGTGCTAAACAACTGATGCTTTTGAACTGTGGTATTGGAGAAGACTCTTGACAGTCCCTTGGACTGCAAGGAAATCCAACTAGTCCATCCTAAAGGAAATCAGTCCTGAGTATTCACTGGAAGGACTAATGCTGAAGCGGAAATTCCAATACTTTGGCCACCTGATGCGAAGAACTGACTCATTTGAAAAGACCCTGATGCTGGGAAAGACTGAAGGTGGGAGAAGGGGACGACAGAGGATGAGATGGTTGGATAGTATCACTGACTGAGTGGACATGAGTCTGAGTAAACTCCTGGAGTTGGCGATGGACAGGGAGGTCTGGCATGCTGCAGTCCATGGAATCGTAAATAGTTGGACACAACTGAGTGACTGAACTGAACTGATGATAAGCTTTTGAAATATACAGATGAGTAAGACACGGCTCTGGACTTCCAGGGTTTTATGGACATATTAAAGACATATTAAGTCTCTTTGACATTAAGCTTTGACAAGCTGAACTGATACTCATTTATCATTTGAGCAACACTTTAGTTTCCCAGTCTCATTAAAAATATGGTATTTACTCTGCTCCCTTGTTACTTTTGTGACATCAAAAGGTACTATTATCCTATTCTTTATTTATGGGAAGGATGCTAATATAACGGAGTGGAAGAAATGCTGGTTTTAGAAGCAGAGTTTCATTTTCATTCTTACACTCTGTTTCTTTTAAAATGGACTTTATTCTAAGGTTAAATGAAGCTATATGTAACTAAAACCAAACTAGGGTACCTGGCATAAAGAAGATGCTAAAAAAAAAAAAGGAAGAAAAGAAAAAGAACAGATCCAACAAAAGATTATTTCTGTGATTTTGAAAGCCAGGAATATGAAATAAGTTATTCCTCAGAAAAAAAAAAATAAGAAACCAATGGTACGAAAGAATGAATTAAATTCTCTTGCATCTCACTTTACTGAGGTAAGCAGTAATTCACACTTCAGATCACTGTAGTCATCATGGGCAGGTTACCACTCATCCCAGCTCTGGACCTTCCTGACATTTGTTAGGATTGTCTTTTTGTGACAGACCCTAGAGGTCTGACATGGCCCTAAGAGATACTTTGGCCCCAGAAATATAAACAGTTGTCATGCATATTCCTTTTGGAAGAAGTTTTAAGAACTACTACTTAATTTGCACACTGCCTTCCACTGCAGTGATGGTCATGGCAGCAAATGTAAAATGGGTTTCCATCAACCTGGGTGGCTGAATGACCATGTTAGGAGGTGATTCCTTGCCAGACCACTCTGGACACACTCATACAAGTGAGAAAGAAACTTGCTGAGTTAAGCTGCTGTGCTTTGGGGTTGTTTGTTTATCACTTATAACCTATCCTGACAGATACATACAGGACTTTTCTTTTTATTGCCTAACATAGTATTTCTTTTCTTTTTTATTGAAGTATAGTTGATTTACAAAGTTGTGCTAGTTTCTGGTGTACAGCAAAATGAACCAACTATTCATGTATATATTCTCCTAGATTTTCTTAAGAATTATGATGAAACTAGAACACTTTCTAACACCATACACAAAAATAAACTCAAAATGGATTAAAGATCTAAATGTAAGACCAGAAACTATAAAACTCCTAGAGGAGAACATAGGCAAAACACTCTCTGACATAAATCACAGCAGGATCCTCTATGACCCACCTCCCAGAATATTGGAAATAAAAGCAAAAATAAACAAATGGGACCTAATGAAACTTAAAAGCTTTTGCACAACAAAGGAAACTATAAGGTGAAAAGACAGCCCTCAGATTGGGAGAAAATAATAGCAAATGAAGCAACAGACAAAGGATTAATCTCAAAAATATACAAGCAACTCCTGCAGCTCAATTCCAGAAAAATAAATGACCCAATCAAAAAATGGGCCAAAGAACTAAACAGACATTTCTCCAAAGAAGACATACAGATGGCTAACAAACACATGAAAAGATGCTCAACATCACTCATTATCAGAGAAATGCAAATCAAAACCACAATGAGGTACCATTACACGCCAGTCAGGATGGCTGCTACCCAAAAGTCTACAAGCAATAAATGCTTGAGAGGGTGCGGAGAAAAGGGAACCCTCTTACACTGTTGGTGGGAATGCAAACTAGTACAGCTACTACGGAGAACAGTGTGGAGATTTCCTAAAAAACTGGAAATAGAACTGCCATATGACCCAGCAATCCCACTTCTGGGCATACACACTGAGGAAACCAGATCTGAAAGAGACACATGCACCCCAATGTTCATCACAGCACTGTGAATAATAGCCAGGACATGGAAGCAACCTAGATGCCCATAAGGAGACGAATGGATAAGGAAGCTGTGGTACATATACACCATGGAATATAAAAAGAATTCATTTGAATCAGTTCTAATGAGATGGATGAAACTGGAGCCCATTATACAGAGTGAAGTAAGCCAGAAAGATAAAGAACATTACAGCATACTAACACATACATATGGAATTTAGAAAGATGGTAATGATAACCCTATATGCAAAACAGAAAAAGAGACACAGATGTACAGAACAGACTTTTGGACTCTGTGGGAGAAGGCGAGGGTGGGATGTTTTGAAAGAACAGCATGTATATTATCCATAGTGAAACAGATCACCAGCCCAGGTGGGATGCATGAGACAAGTGCTCGGGCCTGGTGCACTGGGAAGACCCAGAGGAATCGGGTGGAGAGGGAGGTGGGAGGGGGGATCGGGATGGGGAATACATGTAACTCCATGGCTGATTCATGTCAATGTATGACAAAACCCACCGAAATGTTGTGAAGTAATTAGCCTCCAACTAATAAAAATTAATTGAAAAAATAAGAATTATGATGGGTTTATTATAGCTTTTAAAAAAAAATCTGTTAAAGTTATTTGATATCCTGTCATCATTTTGGTAGGTTCTTCTTCTGTCTCAGGTGTTTTTGTTTTCTGGTGAGTTTTTTGGGGTTTTTTGTCTTCTTGCTAGCCTCTGTTCAGTTCAGTTATTCAGTCGTGTCCGACTCTTTACGACCCTGTGGACTGCAGCACGCCAGGCCTCCCTGTCAATCACCAACCCCAGGAGTTTACTCAAATTCATGTCCACTGAGTTGGTGATACCATCCAATCATCTCATCCTCTGTCATCCCCTTCTCTTCCCACCTTCAATCTCTCCCAGCATCAGGGTCTTTTCAAATGAGTCAGTTCTTTGCATCAGGTGGCCAAAGTATTGGAGTTTCTGCTTCAACATCAGTCCTTCCAATGAATATTCAGGACTGACTTCATCTAGGACAGGCTGGTTGGATCTCCTTGCAGTCCAAGGGACTCTCAAGAGTCTTCTCCAACACCACAGCTCAAAAGCATCAATTCTTCGGCGCTCAGCTTTCTTTATAGTCCAACTCTCACATCCATACATGACTACAGGAAAAACTATAGCCTTGATTAGATGGACCTTTGTTGGCAAAGCCTCTGTAATAAATAGCGTATAACATGGAATAGTTTTTTAAATATCTCATGATTAGAGAGGATTAAGAAAAATGATACAATATGTTTAAATGATATAATATGTTTTGGTTGGCTTAATGTTTTCAAACTGATGATAAAGATCAAGATGAAAAGTTTCTTAATTTTCTTTAATCATGTGCAACATTTAATGTTCCTGTAATAGAAGAGGGCAAAACAATTGCTAGATAATTTCCAAAAATACTACTTATTTTCTATAGACTATTCTTATTTTCTATAGACAATACATTTATTTTCCATAACATGCATCCATGAAGAAAGATAAAAACCTGAATTTCCAGGAGGGATTCAAAGCTTTTTTTGGGTTTGCATCATTTTCCCATGACAGCACAGAAAGTATCTGAAAAAACCCGTTAACCCTGAAAACCTCATGAAGCTGGCTTATTTTGAGAGCCTTGAAAAATCTGTGTTTTACTACAGTCTACAACTTCTGCGGTACCTAGAATCATATCTGTTTCATAGAATTCAGTTTCTTAGAAAGAATATAATAAATCGTTTTCCAAACATACTGACCTGACCTTTGACTATGGTGAGCCCCGGGGCCTACATATATATTATAGCATATGCTATAATCCTACACGTGTGAGAATAAAATATTGTGCCATGATGGCAAATGACAAGAACTATCCCTTAAGCTTCCATTCTGAGCAGGCGATCCCTTCACAGACCTCTTGCTCCTGTCCATCTAGCAGTTGTTGTTTATGCTTTTGTTCTGAGGACTTAAAAGTTTTTTTGGCTCTGGGGCATGGCGTCCTTAAACAGTCTCAGGTGGGAGCTGCAGTGTTCAGGATTCAGCCTGTAGCCCCTCCCCATCTGTTACAGGAATCAAACCTGAGGAGACCTGTCTTACAGTCCAAGGACCCATTTGATATGTGAGTCTCTGGAGGTAAACTGCAGAGAGTTCATGACTTGGGGGAGAGAATATGATCACAGTCACATAGGAAGAACGGAGGTAGGAGGAGTCCTAGCCCATTAAGCGTCTATAAAAAATTCTATATTACCATAAACTACAGCAACTTTCAGAGTTTTCCACCACATGCTATATATCACTGAAATACAGGAGTTAGAAATATGTCATCTTGGATGACAACAATTGTGAACTTTATCACTTGGAGAACTGCAGGTTAGTTTCCCTTAATCAGTCTTGTTGGAAGTAGGCAGGATCAGGGGAGAATTCACTGATGATATAAGATACCTTGTCGAGGACCAGTTTAGAAATATTCTGAAACAGGAATGAAATGTATTTCTTAAGTAGTTAGAAAATTTACCTTTTGAGAGAGAGCATATGGAAGGATAAAGGACATGATTTGGGGAGGAAATCTGATAAGGATTTTTTTGACTTTTCGTTTAATAGCATATCACTCGGGGAAAGTTATGTGATACTCCTGAGCTTCAGTTTTATCTTCAGTACAGTGAGATTAATAATATATACCTCATCTGATTGTATGAAGAACTAAGAGAATGGTACAAGTGGTCATTAAAGTCCTTCGTGTATTATATGTGTCTCCAAAATGAAAATTGCTTTCTCTTGCCCTCCCCACACCCTTTGAGATAGGCTTATAACACTGCACCCCATTATATAAACTCCTTTAAAATGGTTGAAAAACTCCAACAATTGTTTGAGCTGGTGGAGTGCCTGTTTTTTCCTGCATGACCACTGGTTTATGTGGAGGGTAAGGAGGCCATGTCCTAGGCTACCAAGACCACACCACAGACTTGCTTTCTCTTCCTCCAGATTCTCATATGTACCTCCGATGAGCATCAATACTCTGCATCATTAAAGGAATATCTTCTCTGTAAACAGAGCTGAAACAGTTTTCTCAAGAAAGTAATGTGTCTTACGTACTTGAGCTGGATGACTCTGTCGCTCCTGACAGTGATGGTGTAAAGACAGTGCATGTTGTCAGGGTAGTTGGAATAGGTATACGAAGGACTCTTGATGACTCCAGTGGAGAGATTGAACACACCACCGCAGGCTAGGACAGAAGTGGGGGATATGCAGAGAATGATTACAATTCGAAGCAGAGGAAAGTCATTGTCAGACATTCTTTACTATGTTACCCCCAAGAGAGACGATAATCATTTGTCCTAGAGCAATATAAACCTCCCTTTATTGTGTTTACAAATAATTCATGCTTTTCCACTGCCATGAAGGGAAGAAACAGTAAGAAGCAGGGAAGAATGCTTCAGGGCACCTCTTGGAATGGAATAAGTCTGAGTCCAAAATACTGGCCAGCGTGAAGGTAATGAGAGAGAAGGTTCCATGTGTTGGAATAGAACTGTCCTTCCTCTATGTTGAAGTGACAGATTCAAAGAGATGACAGTGATGGCTGGAAGTTTAGAAAAGGTGTGCTGAATGCAAGGCACATTGTGGGCTTATGAACCCAGGAAGGACTATGATCTAAACATCTTAAGTAATATAGATTGGAGTCTCCTATGTCCATGATAGACTATTATAAGGTGATGTTCCAGAAATCACTTTTGGAATATTGGAGTTAAGTTTCCTTCTTGGGCTCACATGCATAACTCTTGGGTCCTGTGTATCTCTAGCTAGTCCTGAGACTGGTAAGGACCATATTCACACAAGTTTTACTGAAGAAACAAGGCCTATCCCTTTCCCTGAGGCCAGCAATTAATAGGCCACAACCCTTAGTTATTCCTACTAGGCAATAAAACAACACCTGTAAAAATGGAATGAAATTCCATTGTAAAAAAACGTAGAATTTTTATTTGTTTGACCTTGCATGTAAGAAGGATGAACTTACCCAGTGATGGAAAGTGCCCTATTCTCACTGCAGCAAGAAAGGTTTATGTTTATTATATATTGTGATTCTAAAATTATAGTAAGGTGACTATACTTTGATGATATACTGTCAATGGATGTGTTCCATTTACATCTGTTAGAAATGATAACCAAATAGTGGCTCCCATTTAAGATTATAAAGGTTATTTATTTACTTGTCTGTTTATTTTGTCTCAGCTGAGTCCACCTTGCAGAGAAAGTTATCCTCTATGCCCATAAGTATTCATGTGCTGAGACCTCTGGGTACATTTGCAGTGAGTTAAATGTTAGATTTGTGTAGCCATTATTCTATTTCATCTTGTATCAATTATGTGGTCTCTGAAAACTATGCCTAAATAACTCCTAAATTTGTCCATTGTCAAGATATGAAATTTCAATATCAATAACCCTCTTTAAATGAGACTCTGAAAATAGATAACATGAACCCTTCACACAGTGTTTTAGGAAAATGAGGGATTAAAGACTAAAAGAGTATAAAGCAGGGAGGAAACTCTCCATAACACTAGCTGAAGCAAAAAAAATAAAACAAACCACCCCTTATCCTTACTCAGCAGACAACTGGGAGAAGGAATGTTCATGGTTCTATTCTGTTTGTGCCAACAGAACCCCAGAGCCATACAAAATCATACATCACAAATGGGGTCAGGACTTGGGTGGTAGCTAATGTGGACACATTGTGAAGGCCTTCTTCATGAGTAAATAAACATTTTCAGTCTCCTCTGTGGATGGGAACAATATATATATTTTTTTAATATATTTTTTTTTAAAGAAAATGATTTGACTTTCTACCTTTAGCAACGGGTTTTGTCAAGTAAAGATCAAACAAACATTCTGCAAGATCTTTTTCTGGCCCATGTTATTATTGGAGTTGGGATGACATGGGGGAAAAAATTTGCTGCTAGCAAACCAACCAAGTTTATTGCAGGAGAGGAAAAGGCCATTCAAAACAGGGAAGTGGAGTCTTATGATTTTCAAACAAACATTGATCAAGCTGTCTACTAAAAACTGAAAAGATCTTGGCAGCTACAAAGATCTTTGTACAATCTGTGACTTCTCATCTTGCCCTTGATATAGAGAAGTTGTAAATTATCACAGAGTTGAATTCATCAATCTTTTTGTTTACTTGTGCTTTTCACATATTGCTAAAAAAAAAAATTCTTTCATACCAGAAGATTATAAAAATATCCCTTACATTTTTTTCCTAAATTTATAAAGCATTGCCTTTCAGCAGAGTGAAAGTCAAAAAACTTACTTTATGCTACATACAAACAGAACAACTAAGGTGGCTGTTCATTCTAACTTAAATGATCAAAAATAAATCTCTATCTTCCATTTGATTTTCAAAGAGTAGTTCTGTCAAAGTTTATGAAAAAGGCCTCCCCATTTGAAAAAGGAAAATACCTAAGTATTTTTAGACCATGTATCTAATTAATAACTTTTTCCCTTAAAGTCTCTGAATCTTCAAGTTGGTCGTGTATGACTCACAATTAAATCTCCTGTGGAAACTGCTCAAGAAAAAAAAGAAAATTCCAAACTACATCATTACGGTCACTCACAAGTTATCCTATAGGAAAACTTGAATCCCAAGTCTGTGGTGTGTGCGTTCGAGTAGAAATTCAGCAGCACTGGACCAGAGATGGTGAGAGGGGACAGGTTGTCCTCCCCACACAGGGTCGCTAAAGGCGTGGAAGACAAGTTGTAACCCCTGATGATGTGCACGCCGTCATTGACACAGCTTCCCGTTACTGCGGAGTGAGCTGTTCAGGGCAGGGAACAACCAGAAGCAACATAAATAATCATCGGAAGCAATGTAAACGATCACACAAAAATGTGAGGAAGATTCATGCAATTTACACAGAAATTAAAATCAGCAGTCATTTTGATAAGTCACTATTTAGCTCAGTTTCCTGAAGGTTACTTCCACCCTAGTTACAAAGTAAGCACAGGTATGAGGAAACAGGTAGACCTTCACAAGAGGTAAATCCTACTTTGAAACAATCCACAATTTTCTCTCTTATAAAATGACTCCTTTAATTCCATGATTATAAATAGGAGACACTTTTGCCTTCTGATTGACATCTGGCAATATCTGAAGACATTTTTTTTGCTGTCATGTTGGGGTGTGCCACTGGCATGGAGCGGGTAGATGGATACTGCTAAATATGCTATAAGGCTCAGGGCAGCCACCCCAGGCCCCCTGCCCTCCCACCACAAGAATGATCCCACCCCAAATGCTAAAGTGCTGCTAGTGAGAAACCTGTCTGTAACAGTGAAGCTTATACACAGAGAAGGGACTTCTGCCATGAAGAGTGGAATAGAAATGCTTCTAACTGGGCACAAATCTGTGTCAGCAGAGCTCTGAGTATCACCTCACTGCAGTAGATCAAAATATCACTCTGATTCTTCAATGGGAAGACAGTTGGTGACCATAAGTAAGCATAAGAAGGCCATAAGCATAAGAAGATAATGATATTAAACACTTTTCCATAATCATAGGGGAACCAATTGAATATATAATCAAACTATACACAAAATTCCCAAGTGGAATATAGTTAAATGCAACTAGATGATTGTCTTCTAGGGAGAGAAAAGAACTTAGTCAAGGTTTAAAAAAAGTTCTTCAGGAGCAAGATGTATTTTGAAGTTGAGTTAATGGCCAGGGGGTAGCATTCAATCAGATATGTGGAAACTTGTCAGGAAGAGTAGTTCCCTGAAATGGAATAATAGTTTTCATGGGCAAGAGCTAATGTCATGGGACAAGGCACTACAGCCACTCTGAATTTGATCTTCAGTCTGTGATTTGATGAATATATACTATTGAAATCTTTGAGTATAAAATAATCCTTCATGATTTGTTTTTATGTCTATTTTCCATCCTCCTGAAAAACTTTAATGCACATGTATTATTTGAAATGGGTAAAGCTCTATCTAATATCTTGAAATACAATTTTTATCACATTATTCTGGGCTTCATTACAGAGAGCAATGCTCAATTCTGGATTTCATCATGATTCCATGAACTTGGAGAGAACTGAAAGGAAGCCAAGGATGAGTAATTCAGCAAAAATAGAAACTTGTGGAATTTAGATGCAGACTTCGATTTTCTTTCAGAGTCATAGAGAGGCAGTGACTTAAGAGAGGAATTAGAAATAGTAGGAAATCCTTTTTATTGAAATAGTATAATATTATAGATATGCTAAAGTCTTCCCAGTTAAACAGCAGAGAGCTCTCAAGAGAGGGATGTGAATCAGGTGCAGCTCTGAGTAGCTTCAGGCTGGACTCCCAGTGGAGGATGATCCCTGGGAAGGAGAAGCAGGTCCTGGTACAGAGATCAGCTTAGCAGAGTGTGAAGGTCAAGGTCTTGTCATGCAGGCAAGCAAGGGACCTCATACAACTATACCGTCTCTGCTGGAGCTTGACCAGTTTGACTAAAACATCAACAGGAACTATTTCAGAAGAACCATTGCTCAATGCTTTCTAAAGTAGTGAACTGTGAAATGGGCCTACTTTTGGATTTCTTGAGAAACAATTGTGGAAGCAAAGAAAAGAAGAGGTAAGTAGCTGCATGATGCCACTTAAAAAAAAAAACAACTTAGTTTAAATGGAGGAGAAATGTGAATTAAGATGGATAAAAGACAATTATCCTGCTTCTTGGCGGGAAAAGGGGGCAAAAGGAAAAAAAAAAATCTGAAACCAAATTTTCTCTTGTTTTTCCTTTTGGCTTTCTATTATGCATTGCTTGTAAACCAGAACTTATAAGTTAATGAAGGAAAATTAAGGCAAATATTACATAGAATTTGCCAACTGGCTGCTCTGGAAATCTAGCTCTGTTACTTGTGGGACCTTTGAGACCACCTCTGGAGGACAGAAAGCAGAAAACCTCTGCACTGTTCTCCCCATTTTCTGTATCAAGGGACTACTCTCTATTCAGTTCTTATCAAGAGATACTCTGGATTTGAGAAAAACTGAGTTTAGAATTTGCCTAGACGTGGTATTTTTTAGTTAAGAATTCTAAACCCCTCATTCTGTCGCCAAGGTGAATCAATGTTATTATGCAATTTTAATGATAGAAAAACCAAGGCACAGAAGGCAAAGGTTTGCCTTAGGTTATTTCATCTGTGAAGTGTTTTCTTCTTCTATAAAGTTAAAAAAAGAAAAAAGGCCTATAATCCTCCTGTCACCTTGGAGGCATCTGCTTGGCCATGGGAATAATGAGAACAGAAAAATATACTTTTAGACCGTTCAATATTTGAGAAAGTAAAATGAGTATTTGATGACACCTGATTCCAAAATAAGTGTAAACATTAAAGGTTTCTCTCTCATGCTTTCTCATTATATTTTGTCTGTTTTTGCTGTTTTCTTTTTGACCAAAGTAACATTTTGAATTTGTCAAATCTCTATTTTTATTTCACAGCTTTGGAAGACACTGTTAAGAAAACCAAGAACCATTTTAGTCTTGAGGTAATTTTAAAAGTCTTGTAAGAGCTCAAATAGAAATTTCTTCTATGACTTTTGACTTCCCTGAAATTTTGTAGTTTGGTAGTGATCGTATAGAAAAGATAAGTATGTAGTTCATAGAATGACTAGTATTGGAAATGTAGTAATAAGGAGAAAGAGAAACCTATGCCAACATAAAATACCATAACGTGCTTTCAGAGCAACTCATTTTAGTAGAAAGTAGGTCAGTAAACATTTGTAACCTCTCTGTAGGAAAAGCATCAAAAAGCACTCAACTAGCCTGAAAGGTAAACTCTTTCCTAACCAGTTGTCAGTGTTTAGTAGACACAGCATATGGACAAGGGTGTTTCCCTGTAGTATTTCATAGCCTGGAATTTTTTCCTTGACAAATTCAACTTTTGTGTCAGTGGACCACCAAAAAAAGCAGAAACAATGTTCATCTCTACCCAGTCAACACAGGCTCTGCTGGCTGCTTGGACTCAGAAATACTTTGGACAGAATCTTTTAGAAATGGTTCTATGGCCTCTAGCAGCTAAGAAGATGGATGCTCCTATAGACTGCTCTGATTTTTCTTGAGAGCAATTCTCTCTCAGTTTTACCACAATATACTGCACATGATTTCTTCAGGCTCATTTAGAAGGGGGTGGAAGATTATTTTTACTGTAGCTACTTGCTGATGGTATTCAATGAACTATGGTATGGATATGATTAATGATAAGAATCTAATTACAAAATAAATCTGATTAATGTTGCCCTTTTGGGGAATCATCATGACTCATTTAATCTAAGCCAGAAAATGACTCACTGAGCAGTTTGAAAATGCTGAGTATGTGTAAGACTAGAAATGTCACAAGACATTATCATATGATCTTATACAAAGAGTAATCTCTTCAACTGGGCAATTCTGAGCAAATCTATCAGTAAAGAAGAAATCACTGAATCTGGAAAAACCAAATATCTGTTTGCAGGTGACTCACATTAAGGGTGTGTCTGGAGATCCTGACTGCTGGCAGCAAAAAGATCCTGGTGGCAGCAAAAAGAACAAAACAATGGCCACTCTGGGACTTCCCTGGTGGTCCAGTGGTTAAGACCCTGAGCTCCTAACATAGGGGGCCCAGATTCTATCCCTGGTTGGGGAACTAGATTCTGCAAGCTGCAGCTAAGACCCAGTGCAGTCAAATAAATAAATTTAAATAAAAAGTATTTTTTAAATGGCCACTCTGATGAATTATGGTTCACAAGATAATGTTTCTACAGGCACGATCTGACTTTCACAAGTACTATTTTATATTTTTGCAAAAATTACAGTGATTATCAGAAAGATTAAGTAGTTTGTACAAAGTCATGTCATTAGTAAGTGGACATTCTGGCATTGAAACCCATCCTAAAATATTAAAATACCCCCATCCTAGGTCAGATAGTCCACAGTAAGCTCAGCTCTTTACCCTATCTGGTCAACTAAACTCAGGGAGTTACTGTTCACCCTAAATATAGGTTGCCTTCTAATCATATATACCATTGGTTTTGGCAGTGCTGTGTGTGGCTATTTTATATAGTATATTTGACAACATCTTTTTTTGGTCTAAATTATATTGCCTATGACATTCTTGTGTTTATGGAATTTAATGAGAACAAATGCACATATAAGCGCACAATCCAAGCCACAAGTTTCTCCCCAACTTATTAAAATAACTTTGTCTCAATTATAAAAATAATAGAAAAGGTATAATGTATGGTGATGAATTTCATTAGACTTATCATGGTGATCATTTTGCAATATATATATATTAAACCATTACACTGTACACCTGAAACCAATATAATGTTACATGTTATACTTCAATTTTTTAAAAAGTTTTTGATAGTTCTTAACTCATAAAAGAAAACAGAAAGGTATAAAGAAGGAAACAAATATCACCTATCAATCTATGACACCATAGTAACAACTTTTAAAGTACTGCTTAATAGTCTTACAGATTTTATTCCTACACTTTATTTTAAATTAAAAAATTGGATCTTTTATATAAACTGCTTTATCTTCCCCTAATATGAATACTTTATAAATCATGAACATCTTTTTATGTTACTGTAATTTTGTGCTAGGAAATGCTGGGAAGATTCTATTTTACTTCTTAGTCCATTTTTACAATGACAGATGTCAATGCACACTTGGCATTTTCCAGCAAACACTTATCAGAAGCTACAATATGTAGAGATATAGGAAAACAAGGTCATAGAAAAAGGATCCAGTGAGACAGGCTTTGTGTAATTTATCAACATATGAGTACTGAAATGTCATTTTTATTTTTATGAGACATAAATTTTCTGGAGGCTGAATATTGTAGAACATTTTGCCAGATTTAACTTTACATGCCATGGGAGACCAACCCAAACAGAAGCAAATTTTGGTTGGACAGATGAAGCTTGGCAAATGTAAAAATTAATTGTGATTTAGAAATGAAAAGTTAATTTGTAAAAAATATTAAAATGACTGAGTGGTTAAAGGTGCCTGTCTTTTCTCTGTGGTGTGATACCACCCAATTAAATATCAAGTTGTGTCAAATGTCATCAGAACCCAGCTCAAACCTCAGCTCTACTGGCTCTTTGCCAGCAGTCAGGAGGAAGCCCAAAGGGGCGCTATGGTCAGCAATTTCCCAATCCCTGTGGAACTGAAGAGGATGAAAAAGGAGAGGAAAGGGTATCTCACAGTTATAGTTTATGAAACTAGATCACAGATATTTATTAATGTCAATAATTCATTCACTCAACATTTATGGAGTAGCTATTGATACTTTGACTCAGTGGTGAAGTTTCTCTTGCTAGTTAGTTCATTGTGTGTGTATGTGTGTGCACACATGTGTATGACTATGTGTAGGTACATGTACCTGTGTGGAATAAATACAAATGAATAAATTAGAAACCATGATTAACATGTAATAGATTTCAGACTTACTTTCTTTAGACCATTTACGTGATGCTTGTATTCTTAAAGCTCTTGCATTATTATTTTTTTTTAACCTCTGGATGGAATATATAGGATGATATGTAAAATACTAGATGGAATTTTATTCAAGTTTACATCAGCTCCACTCTCACATCTTTCATGTTTTCTTCCAATGGTGATTTTTAGACAATCTCGGCCTCTACTTATTGCTCATTCATTTATTTAGAACCAACTGTAATTTACATAAAAATAAACTTACCTTCCAGACGGAAAGACACCAAAGTCAAGAGGATCACGGACAGAGGACTGGCTTCTATGATGTAGGTGCAGTTCATATTGTTGTCATATTGCTTTGGGTAGTTTGGAGAAACGATATAACCTGAAGGGCTAGTGAAATTCCTCCCACATCCTACATGGGAAGAAAAAGGTATTCTCAGAACATTTGTTCTCCCAGACAACAACTCTTCGTCAGTGAGGAAAGCCTCAATTTTCCTAAGCTCTCTAGAGCCAGGGTCCCCAGCCTCTGGGATCTACTGCCTAATGATCTGAGGTGGAGCTGATGTAATAAAAATAGAAATAAAGTGCACAATAAATTTAATGTGCTTTAATCATCCCGAAATCATCCCCCATGCCAATCCATGGAAAAATTGTCTTCCATGAATCTGGTCCCTGCTGCCAAAAAGGTTGGGGACCGCTGCTTTAAAGATATTTTCTGAGACACTCCAAATGGAAGCAATGGTAACTAAAAGAATGGAGCTCTGATTTAAAAATAAGTATGCATGCAAAATTAGAACAACATTATTTTTTAGAAAATGATGCAGAATTTTGGGCTAAGTAGAAATTTTTCCACACATCCACTGAAAATCTCTTAATTTTAAGATATTAAAGGATAACTTAGCAAAGATTGAAGAGGATTCATGTAGCTAAAGGAATAAAACTGATGAGAAGTGATCAGTGCCTGATCAATAAACTGAAGTTTTTAAATACCGTATTATATTATGGAAAAACATGTTCTTCTCATTACCATTGTAATATGGCTGTAAAAATAATACCTGCTTTATAAAATGGTTGAATTCACTAATCCCAGCCCTTTAACAACTTCTCACGGGATTCTCTGGTGTTAGAAATAAAGATAACTACCTTTTTTTTTTAACCAATAAAATGACATTTGTTTTTCTATAACCACTAACTAGTTAATCCACACACTCCCTAACATAGATAGAAAACATCAGTATTCTTTTAAACTGTTAGTAACACACACACACATACACAAATACAATGAACCAAGTGAAGGCCTAAAATCAGGTCTGGGGTGCCTTTCATTAATTCCTTTACACCACCCTCTTAATCATGTCTGAATACCTGTTCACTGTGTTATTTCCTCCAATTCCTTTCATCAAACTTTTCCCTAAACAGTGGTTTGTAAATAGTGGCTTTAATTCAGTCAATAATCATATGCACCACTGTGTCTCAGTCTTGAAAACTCCAGGCCTCACTATTCTACCTGGTAGGAGTGGCCATCAGAGTAGCAAGAGAAAATCCTTAAGAAGGTGACTGTCAATGTTGACTGAGCATGAGAATCCCCTGGCTGAGAAACTAAAACATGTAAGTCCCTGGGCAGGGAAATTCTGAATTCAGACAAACTTGGGGTGAAGCCCGTGTTTTCATAGCCCAGATGAGTCCCATGCAGACAGGTAAGCGCTGTGAGCCAGGCGCGCTCACTGACTACTAATGACGGACTTCGGCTCAATTCCTGCCCCGCTGCGGATTTCAGGGTCCATTTCGGACATTCACGAGTGGCACTCAGGCCTTCTACGTCATTTCTCTAGTGATCTACAGTTGAATCCGGTTCCATTCTCACTGAATTGGAAGGAAGGGTGCACTCTCGGGATCAGGTGATTGATTCACTCAAGCCCTTCCCCAGGGTTCTGACCAACTGAGGAGCAGACCCTCACCTCCCCAGGTCTGCCCATGGCAGCCACGCCCTCTCAAGGACTCGCTGGTTCTGTACTACTTACGGCTCACGAAGGAAGCAGAGAAGCCCTGAGCCGGGGCCTCCTGCGACTGGAACACGGCAGTGAAGACGTTTCTGGGCGTGGTGATGGGCCCCGGGGCCACGTTCCCGCAGCTCGTGGCTAACAGGGTCTGGCTGGACTCCTGAGTGTCGGCCCACACCTAACAGAGCCAGAAACAGGACTTAATGCCCCAGGCTTTCCCTGGTCAATGGTTAAATGTGCTCAGGCTGGAACACGCCGGGCACTCAGATGTATAGAGACCGAAACACAATGGTAAATAAAACGCATGCACATCTGCAGTATTTTCTTTTGCAACCATTTAAGCTGCTTTTTTTTTTTTCTAGCACAGCCCATTCTTGACTCTTCCAAGGAAACTGCTCATTTTTGTGTAGCTAGGCCATTTCCTCTTGCCTTCTCCTAGTTGACCTGACCTAGTTGAACTTGCCCAACCCCCAACTAAGCATTATGTAGCCCAAGAAGGCAAGAAGGGCATTGGGTGTGGATTGGTCTTACTTGACTACTCAACATTTCCTTCACATTGAATTACTCATTCTAAACTTATCACTTTCAGGAATGTTCCTCGAACAAAGCCATAACACATCAAGCTGTTATAGAGATTTCTATTAGCAAATTGGCCCAGAGGAAGAAGTATGAGGGAGACCAAATGCAGAGTACAGATTTACTATCAGCTCTTCAAGGTCATATCATTTCAAGTGATTTTCAAACACTGCATATCCTGCTGTTACTCAGCTTACTGAAGTCAGATTATATTTGCCATGTATGAGATATGGGAGGTGCCTGAGGATGGAACTACTGAGAACAAGAGTGAGGATATTCTGTCATATATCTAAGATCAAAATAAGCATCAGGAAAGAAATGCACACCCACATTTTTCCTAACATCCCCTTTATGTCCTCCCACTCCCTGCCCTTAACTATCCAGGGAAACACTATACAGAACTTTTCTAGCCACATTCTGTACTGTCTATTTTTAATTCAGTAAAATTATAAACATGATTTACTGAGAGATCTGCATATATTCTTTTTACAAACATCACTGAAAAGGCAAAATGCTCGGAGCTAAAACTTTTATGAAAGCGTCTCAACTTCTTCAATAAGGAACTTCAAGAATCCTCAAAGGCTTATGCCTTCCTGAAGTCATTAATTATGGATCTGACATCTCTACCTTTTGGCCCAGAACATAGGTGTTATCATGATAATAATGGTAAGGAGTTATTAAATATTCATTGCTGCTATGTCAGTCAAGATCTCATTTCATTGGCTTGATGACCTAGAACGCTTAAAAATTAGATCTACAAAATGTTACAAAAACTTTCTGACTTTTCTTAAGGTTTGTACAATTTAGCCTGGCTGCATGTGATATTTTATCACTCAAGTGATTTTTTAAAAAAAATTATGTTTATTGAGTACCTGCAGATTCACATGCAGTTGTAAGACATAGAAGAATCCCTGGTACACATTTCCCAGTTTCCTCTAATACTGACATCTCATAAAACTATAATTAATGTCATAAGCAGGAGGTGGACTTGATACAGTCTACCTATCTTTCTCAATTTCCCAGTGTCACTTGTATTCACACATATGTGTGTATACATTTGGTTATACACCAGTTTAGAGAGTAAATCCCCTACACACAAACATTCAAGTTGTGAACTTTTAAAGAAGTGAATGTGTGTTCACATGTCCAATCACGTCAGTCAGTTCACATGTCTGGTATACCTTGTCATGTGCCTGTATCCTCTGCAGTGGTTGTGGTTTCATGTATTTTACTGTACAGTACTATAGAGAGTACAGTACTACAGTATCTTTATTTCAAGTTCAGGATGTCCAGAAGCAAGCATAAAAGCATCGGTGATGTAGTTGGTACTACTGTACTTCTCAAGGTACTGTACTGTAAAGTTCAGTTCAGTTCAGTTCAGTCGCTCAGTCATGTCTGGCTCTTTGTGATCCCATGGACTGCAGCATGCCAGGCCTTCCTGTCCGTCACCAGCTCCCAGAGTTTACCCAAACTCATGTCCATTGAGTTGGTGATGCCATCCAGCCATCTCATCCTCTGTCATCCCCTTCTCCTCCCGCCTTCAATCTTTCCCAGCATTAGGGTCTTTTCAAATGAGTCAGCTCTTTGCATCAGGTGGCCAAAGTATTGGAGTTCCCCTTCAACATCAGTCCTTCCAATGAACATCCAGGACTGATCTCCTTTAGGATGGACTGGTTGGATCTCCTTGCAGCCCAAGGGACTCTCAAAAGTCTTCTCCAACATCACAATTCAAAAGCATCAATTCTTCAGCGCTCAGCTTTCTTCACAGTCCAACTCTCACATCCATACATGACAACTGGAAAAACCATAGCCTTGACTAGATGGACCTTTTTTGGCAAAGTAACATCTCTGCTTTAAAGATGTTTATTTTTTGTGTTTGTTTTTTATGTATTGTTCATGTGAAAAGTATTATAAACCTAATACATGACAGTACTATATAGCCAATTGTATTAGCTCGGTACCTAGGCTAACTGTTGGACTAATGAAGAAATTTTTTGGCACTCAACTTCCTTTATGGTCCAATGAGCATTGAAGAATTGATGCTTTTGAACTGTGGTGCTGAAGAAGACTCTTGATAGTCCCTTGGACTGCAAGGATATCAAACCAGTCCATCCTAAAGGAAATCAGTCCTGAATATTCATTGGAAGGACTGATACTGAAGCTGAAACTCCAGTACTTTGGCCACCTGATGTGAAGAGCTGACTCACTGGAAAAGACCCTGATGCTGGGAAAGATGGAAGGCAGGAGGAGAAGGGACGACAGAGGATGAGATGGCTGGATGACATCACCAACTCGATGGACATGAGCTTGAGTAAGCTCCGGGAGTTGGCGATGGACAGGGAAGCCTGGCGTGCTGCAGTCATGGGGTTGTGAGGAGTCAAACATGACTGAGTGACTGAACTGAACTGAATGAACAAACTGGACCTATAAACACACTCTTCGGACGGAACTCATCCATACATAGGGGACTTACTGTACCATCACCTTCAAGATACCGAGCAGCTCCAACTCCAAGGCTCCCCAGAGCTGCCACTTCTACTCATTGAGTAGCTTTTATATTCCAAGTACTGAGTACTATTTATGTTATTGTATTATATTATCTCTAATGCTAAAAACATTCCTACTAAAGTAGGAATTATTCTCTTCATTTTACAGTTGAGTGATTTAAAGCCCAAATGTTTAATTGGCTCAGAGAAGAACATGCAGGCGGTAAATGCAAGGGAGGTGGAGTCCAGGCCAATGTTCTTTCCACTAAAAGGTGTACAGGCCCTCAGAGACAAAGCATATAAGATGCAAAAAAGCATTTTTTTAAACTCCCAGTGGTTGAGGTTTCTCACTTTTTCATTCAAGAAATCCAAGCAGTGAAATTGTCCTTCTCCTACTTTGAGAGCAATGAGTCATTTCTAGTCTAAACATTTACGTTCCTGAAACCAGCTTGGCTCCAATTAAATACACAAGCACACTGACCTTCACAAAGCTGTTCTGACACTGTCCATCCCCACTGGGGATGAGGAAGTTGTTGTCAAAGCTGATCTCCAAGTGTTTACTTTGGTGTGTAATGACTGTCCAGGAACATCTGCTGTTCTCGGGAAAATTCTGAGGCCAGTGAGGGGATCTGATTGTACCATTGTTCGAATGAAGTACTCCACCACAACCTGAAAGAATTGTCATGGAAATAGTCATCACCTTGTGAAGAATATAACAATTTTGGTAAACCCAAGGCTTCTGGAGAAGTCACATTTCTAAATGAGATTTCAGTGCATCTCTCCTTACATATGAGTCTCTGACCCCCGGAGCAGGTCCACAAGCAAGGACTCTCAGCAAATGTAAGGTCAGTGAAGTCACAGGAACCTTCCGTTGTTACTGTTTGGTTACCCCTGTACTGAACTCACCTGATCCCGTTAATCCATGCCAAAAAGAGAACAGATTTCCACTCTGTCATCAAACAAGAGCAAGAATTTTTACTCCCCTTGAGGCTCTGGTGTATTAATATTTGTGGCCCAACAATCTCATGCTTTGTTTTTTACTGCCACTAACACATGAGAGTGCAAGTCTATATTCATTTGCAATTTTACTCTAACATACATACATAATATGTCATTTTAATCTAACATAAACAGGAGAAAATTATTTTGAGGAGGGGAAAACTTTCCGTTATGCAACCTGGTTCATTCACACTGAAATGTCAATGGATGAAAATTAAATTACAGGGATTAAAACAAAGAAAAATCTAGAATTGTTTTGTAATATTAAAATATGTTCTTAATGCATGAGACAAGTGCTCAGGGCTGGTGCACTGGGAAGATCCAGAGGGATGGGATGGAGAGAGAGGCGGGACGGGGGATTGGGATGGGGAACACATGTAAATCCATGGCTGATTCATGTCAGTGTATGGCAAAAACCACTACAATATTGTAAAGTAATTAGCCTCCAACTAATAAAAATAAATGGAAAAAAAATATGTTCTTAAGAGACAACAAAAGAAAAATATGTGAACTTAAAACAAAATGAAGTTAGAGTTTTCTTTGTATCTTTTGCTTTTAAACCCTTGGGAAACTAGGGGGTTCATCTCAAACACCCTTCCAAGTCCAATAGCAACCAGTGGGTTAATGAGGGACAGTTTGAATCAAAGCTCTTTTCCACAAAGAACTTCCTAATCACCCTCCCCACCCACCCACCCCACCCACCCCGACTCTTCTAGAAACAACTGTCCTCTGTCATATTGCAAGACTATGATGGGATCCTAACAAAAGTATCCAATGCAAGTCTTACATTTTCTGGGGATTTCCATGAAGTTCATAGTTTGCCAGTACAATAATTAATCCTTTGAAACCAGATCTGTTATGTTTTGCCCTGTACAAAGCATTCATTCTAAATCACAAATGTTATCTTGTCACTTTACTGCTCAAAATTCTTCAACTAGCTCCCCATTGCCTGAGGGGTAATTCAGAAGCCAAAGCTCTTCAGGATGTGGTGTTGGTGGTTTAGTCTCTAAGTTGTATCTGACTCTTGCGACCCCAGAGACTGTAGCCCACCAGGCTCCTCTGTCCATGGGATTCTCCAAGCAAGAATAGTACAGTGGGTTGCCATTTCCTTTTCCAGGAGATCTTCAGGACGTGGATGACGGCTTTTACTGCCCTCAACTCACCACTCTGCATCCTGCCTCCAAGCTCAAAATCCTTTAAACTACTTGTGATTCCAGCACATATTTTCTATTACTTGAGATTCCCAAGCTGTGCCATGGCCTTTTGCTGATGGAGGCAACATGGTGGAAGTACTTAAATCAAAAAGTTTCTGGGCTCTACTGTCTTTACTCAAATCTCAAGTCTTCTGATCATCAGCTACACGACTTGGGCAGATTATCAACCCATTTATCCTGCTTCCACCCATGCAAGTGGAGAAAATGTGAATCGATAGTGTGTCTTCCTTAGAAGGCTGTTACATGAGATGACATGTGTAGTGTAAAATTTTAGAATTGAGTCTATAGACTTGTTGGATTTGTTAGTAAATTTTAAAACTACATTGATGATAAAAGTAAGTACAGACAGTATTTCTTTTACCTGAAGTCTCTGAGCTCCATGTAGCATAAAATCCACCGTGCTGTATCGAATGGTCTGTATTAAAAATCACCACCAGCTGGTTGGAACCTGACTGGATTGTCCCTGGGTTTAAAATTCCACAGTAGTGTCCTATGATGGGTGATCCAGGAGAACCACCGTTCCTCACAGTGATCGAGTCCCAGGCACAGTTTTCATGGGCTTCAATGTCAAAATCACAGAATGTCAGCTGCAGAAGAAAAGAAAAGAAATGAGAAAACACTCTGAGTTGTAAATGAGCCTGTCTATGTAGAGTTAGACTGAAGTCCTTCTGCATCCTTTCATTTTAATTTATAAAATTTTGTATTTACATATCTTATTTCATTCTCCTTGCCCTTCTCTACTTTTTCTTATTGAAGTTTCTCCTGGAAATTTTGAGAGTGAATATTTCTCCCAGAATGGGAGACAATTAGGGTCATATTCAGTCCCCTGGACTGGGATGGCAACTTATATCAAGAACATGAAAGCATCTCCATTCCAGATGGAGAATGATCTTCTACAGAGAGCTTCTCCCGTGCTTGAAAAAGAATGGAATATATTTCATCCTTCATCAACTGTAAATGTATAGATGCCAATGTATGTACTCCAATCAGAGAATTTTAGGGAGAAGATGATTTGATGGCAGGATTAAAGCCTATTCTAATCACTTGCTTATTAAAAAAAAAAGAAAAACTCTGTCTCCTCCCAGGACACAGTACTTTTATTGTACAGTTTCAGAAGGATCAATATTTCACCCACTCGTCAGTACTCACATTGATGGTGTGGCCTTGTGGGGCTTCCAATAGCCAAGAACAGTGGGTCAGGCTGTCGTAGGCAGCTGGATAGTTGGGGCTTGAGATCACCCCACTGTCACCTATCTGTATTCCACCACAGTCTGAAATTAGATTTGCAAACTTCTCAATAAGATAGGAAAAAACCTGCAAAATTCTGTAAAGCCAAAGTAAATACTACTTATAGCCATAGCACTTTATGATTTTTTAAAAAGGGCAATAAATGGATAAATAGATGAAATTAGATGAAAGCAAAGTAAAACTGAAAGTAAAAAGTAAAAAGATGGAAGATTAGAAATAAAAAGAATCTTATATAGTGTTAATTAAATGGAATCACATAATGAGGGTGGGCTCAAGTTTGATACAAAGGAGAAGGAAGATTTTATGAACCAAAAATGGCAAAACTTGGATAAGCATAGAATAAATGCACCTGACAATAAATGCACTAGGGACAATGTAAAGAATATTGGCTTTCTTGAAAAAATTTGGCCCATGAAAACACATGTAAGCTTGAAGAATATGACCAGTACCATAACTAAACAGTTTTTCATTTGACAATAAACACATGTACTATAGTCAGCTATAAAGGTGTACATTAGCACAGAAAGTTGAAAAAGTTAGAAAAAATTTTCTAATTTACAAAAATACATTTTGAAAGCATAGTATGGTATGATGTTCCACAGAAATAATAATGCTTCTAGATGTCTGACGCTTTTCTTTCAATCTGATGAAGGAGAACCAGTTGGCAACCTGGCTGACTGAGTGGATAAGAAATCTCACTCCTTTCCTCAGTCAACTGTCTACTTAAAGGAACTGGCTTAAAAAAAAAAAAAAAAGAACTGGCTATATTGTCTGCACTGGAGAATGTTACACGTGCACTTGAAAAGAATATGTATTCCACTGTTGTTGCAAGAAGTGTTCTGTAGAGGTCAGGTTAAGTTGGTTGTTCAGGCCTTATATATCCTTGCTCATTTTCTGTTTAATTGTTATACCAATTAAAATATTATTTTGAGTTGTCTGAAAAAAAAAGAACTGGGTAGAAAGTATAAATAAAAATGTCTGATTGACATTACCAACAAAACCAACAAATAAACCTAGAAATAAATCTAACAAAATATATGTGAGATCTTTCTGGAAAATATCATTTAAAAATTTATGTATTGTTTTATCACTAGAGTTGGAGAGCTTATCATCAGTCTTACCTGTAAAAGAATACTGTGCATGGAATCCAACATGTTCTACACGCTCATTGGTGACAAAGTGTATCCATACCTGTGGATAAGGTATAACCAATGGCATTCTAGGTTTTGAAGATCCACAAAGTCTCCATATCAGAAGCCCATCAGCATTACCTGAGCAGAACAATGCACCGAGTGTCATTTATATAACTTTTGAAAAATATATTCAACAAATTCAATCAGAATAAATAATAATAATAGCAAAAATTTCAAGCTATTCACTGATGCACATTTAAATTCTGATTTAGTAGCAGACATTTCACAAATCCTCTATCTTTCTTGACTACAAAGGAAAGAGGGCCTCATGGTGAAAAAGAATGCTTTTTTCGGTATGGACCTCTTTATCCTAGGCACCATTTTGTTCCAATTCATGTTTATGTCATAATTATTTTTTAGCATATATTTAAACAGAGACACAATTGGTAAAAAACTTTAAAACATAGGATCTAGCTGTCAACACTGATCCATCTCATTCCGTTTATGGGAGTTATTGTCCTCAGCTGGACACATGCAGAATGATGGTTTTGTCTGAACAGTGTTCTTCTGGACCCTACATACGTACATTACTGTCCTTGACTTTCTTCATTGGCAGGTCACTGGACTCCAGGCAAAAGGAGAAAGTTGTAGATATGAATGGGAAAACATGTTCCTTGATTGGACTCACCCACTCGGAACTCAAGGACATCAGATTGACAGTCTTGGTGACTTTCTAGATAAAAATCCTCAAAATGAATGTAAATGGAGGAGTTGTCCTGATTGGGGTTGCTGAGCGTCCATTCGCAGTTTAGGTTTCTTGAATAATTACTGACTCCGTCAAAGCCAGGAGAAGTAAAGTTTCCTTCACGGGAACTTGTAAGGGACCCACCACACACTGAGGAAACAAAAGGAAAAAGACTAGTTGTCAGACTCAGGCCATAGAAGATACACATGTGACAGAAAAAAATAACTATAATAACCACAGCAGTCTTTTTTTTTTTATTGCTTTGATTTGTTTTTCCAGATGAAGTTAGGGTTGTGGTTAAAGGGCTGGCTCATCACACCAACTACAGAAGTTGTTTCTGTGGGTTTAGAAAGAAAGATGCACAAAAATAAGCAACTCCTTTATTTCCCTGAAGGTGTAGATTAGGTGAGTGAGGTTTGGCTAAGTCAGTATCTTCTAATATGAGCTCACTGTTCACTAATATTTCATTTAAAGTAATATCCAAATATAATGGTGGCCCTGATGGCTTCTGATTAGGAATCCTCCACTTGACCTGAGAATTTAATTGAATAAAAGAGATAATATTTAACACTGGCATTGCAATGAATTTGCTCCTTTTAAAATGGAATGAATATTCTTTGTATCAATGCAATAAAGGGTTTTTTTTTTAAATATTCAATTCCACTCTTCCTAAAGTTTAAAGTTCTTAGATAATAACACCAATCCAGAAAGTAGGAGGATATTTACAGTAGAAAGGCCGTTATCCTGCTTAATTTTAAATATCCCATATCATATGTGAACCCCACATTCATGTATGCTGGAAGTCTATATCTGGATAGATGGAGGACTAAGAAACAATACAAATTTGTCTTCAGTTGCATTAGTTACCCTCTGGGAGTAAGCTACCTTCCAAGGGATTTCTGGCCTTTTTCAGGACAGAGAACTGACCAAGGGCTGTGGGACTGGCAGTCGTCTATAATGGCGACACTGCATGGAACTCAGCTAGAAGCTCTTCTAACAGCACTTTTTTTAACTTTTCTAATTTGCAATAGCAGTTTTCTTTCCAAAACTAGAAGTTTTTGTCTTTTGTTTCTGGGCTTTTTGGTTGGGTTTTCTATCTGGCTAGGTTTGTCTTTCATGGAAGATTCTAGGTGTAACCTTGATCTCTGAGGGGAACAAGCATGACTCCGCTGCTGTTGGCAGCAGCTGCAGGTCACTTGCCATGCAGACAGTGACACAGGTGTATTCACAGCAGCTGCTATTACCTGCATCTTCACTGGATGTGTAGGAGGCAGTGAAGCCGCCGTACGGCCTGGACCCATCTGTGAAATAAACGACCTTCATTGTATTTCCTGAAGATTCGATCTCATTGCTGCCATTAACGCTACTGCACAGTTTCTCCAGCTGGGGTGAGTTACTTCTAATGCCATTAAATACCTGTTGAAAAAAACAGTTTAACCCTTAGACATAGCCCATCTTATTGAGTATTTCCTAGGAGTTTATGTTCCCAGCCTAGACATGCTTCCTTCTAAGGAAACTCTGAGCTAAAATGAATTATTTCACAATATGGGCACTTGACCCAGGGTCACAAGCCAGTGCATCACCCGCAGCACATTTTGTGCCTTCAGGGTCACTGCACAAAAATGGAAGCATTGCAGTCATGCCCTCCTGCCACAGTGACAAGTAAAAAACTGCTGTGCTCTTTGCAACTGGAAACGGTGCTCGAAATGTAAAGCAGCTATGCTAACATGCTTCCATCTTAGTTCACAGAGTTCACTGGGGAGCAGTTTTTCTTAGCAATGCATCAGGACCTTTGACATCGGCAAAGAGGGTTTAAACATTAGTCTCTGATGAACTGAAGTATAGAAGAACTCAAATATTTTTAAATGCCTTGAAAAGTGATTTTTAAAAAATCAATCTCAATATAATAGTTCTTTCCTAATTACTTATGCATTCAAAGCTTCAACTTTCTTACAAGTTTGAACTTTTAAAAATGGATTTGAGTATTGTGGACTCCAAAATATTAAACAACTCCAGTTATGCACATGGTTATAATAATTGGCAAAATATTCTACTTCTGTCCAAAACCAAGTGGATGTCTAGGATAGCTCAAGAAAGATCTAGAAGTAACTAAACAGTAAATGATGGAGTGAGTGACAGTTCTGTTTTTAAAAAGGATTGGAATGGCTTACAATTAGGAATAATGAGACTGATATGACATTGATAGCTACGGAGGTGGATACTGTATTCCATACAAAAGCTGTATGCTTTTCTGTCTACTGTTATTGACCGTTAAATGTAGCTCTTTGGGAGCTTCTGGTTTAAAGTGTCTTCCAGCTCATAGGAATGGACCCAACATTTCTTATCATTTACTGAACACAAACAACATGCCAGACTCTACTAATAACCCACTTGGATTACTTTATCAAATTAGCAAACTAACCGCTCAGATATAATATATTACCCCTGTTTTCCAGGTTAACACACCAGAATTCAGAAAGGTTATGCCACTTGATGCAGTTTAAAGAGCCAGTAATAATAAAATTGGGATTCAAATTATGCCTCTGATTCCTAACCATGAAATAATGCATAGGAAACAGGAGAGAAGTATTTCAATAATTCTAAAAACGGGAATGGGCAACACATTGCCAGAATCAAAAGGGATTATTTGCAACTACAAGGATAATATGTGCAAAACTATGATCAATGGCCCTTGTGTCTCCCCAGCATCTGCCCCGAGTGTGAAATCACAGTGACTAAGAATTGCGAGGCATCGTTTATCACGCAAACTCCCGCTTTTAGGAGGAACAAGAGGGCTGTTTCCACACTCCTCCCCTACTCCTCTTTGAACTGAGAAACTAAAACTCTTGGAAAACAGTGGGGTAAGAAGTAGGTATGTGAAATTCAGGACAAAAAATGCGCTAAAAGCAGGAATACAATGGGGCGTTCGGCTCATTGTTTTGCACAGGGGATGGTGTGGCTTTCCCACTTCTCCATCTGGGCACAGCGTGAGACAGGCAGCCTGTCTAAAGGAACGGTTTACTTAGATCACTGCATGAGGTACTGGTCTGGAAGTGGCTTGCTCAAAGCCACCCTTGAGCAACCTGTAGATCTCAGGAAGAGTCCCTACCTCCTTCCTTCCTTCCTTCCTGGCTTCCTTTCTTTCTTTCAGTCAAGTTCTCAACAAATAAAGGATAAATAGAAAACAAGCCACATCCTGTTGTTTGGAGCAGAATGAAGAGGAAACAACACAAGCAAGGAACTCATAAAAATGTATTTCAAAGAAAGGAATGTGGACATTGTATTAAAGATTCAGAAATTTATTCTGAAAGTGATTCTTTGATGCTTTAACTTCAAGGGTGAGGGGGTGGGGACAACTTGTAATATGATATTTGTGGTTTCCCTGATTTAACGGTCAGATACCCCCTCGGTCACCCTCCCCCGCCTCCTCCCTGCCCCACCCCGACCCCGCGTGAAGCCCACAAGTTGATGGCTCCAGTCACACACAGACAGCTTCCCATGGCCTTTTAGCACTTAATACTTAAATAGGAATGAAGAGTCAAGGGTCAGTAGACATTTAGGGAAACATCCAATGTAAAAACCAGAGACCAATATAATGGGAGAGAGGGACTTGAAGGAGACTGACTCCCCAAAAAGCAATAAAAGTCTCAAAATTATGATTAACATATTTGACATACATAATACAGTCCAAAGAATAAGGATAGAATAAAGATAATTATAGGTATACATGTACTCAAAAACTTTGTCTCCCATGCCTATGTCCTTAGAGAGCCAAGAGAGCATGTGCCTTACCTCAAAGAGGAAATTAACCAAGAATGGGAAACACTCATATCATAAAGCCAGGTATCATAAAGTCCAGGAGATGGATGAAGGAACTTGCAAATATGAAGATGAAGGGAAATCTGGGCATAGCAGTAGGAATCAGACTTGCAGCTGATGGGCAAAGGCTCAAAGAAGATCTTTCTAAGGAAAATGAATGGAACCGATGGAAGTGTTTTATCATATAAGATGGGGATGTACACCTGGAGTGTGGAACATATGGAAGAATTAGTGACTAAAAAGCCTTTGACTATGTGGATCACAACAAAATGTGGAAAATTCTTAAAGAGATGGGAATACCAGACCACCTGACCTGCCTCCTGAGAAATCTGTATGCAGGTCAAGAAGCAATAGTTAGAACTGGACATGGAACAACAGACTGGTTCCAAAGGAGTATGTCAAGGCTGTATACTGTCACCCTACTTATTTAACTTATATCCAGAGTATGTCATGCGAAATGCCAGGCTGGATGAAGCACAGGCTGGAATCAAGATTGCTGGGAGAAATATCAATAACCTCAGATATGCAGATGACACCACCCTTGATGAAGGTAAAAGAGGAGAGTGAAAAAGTTGGCTTAAAGATCAACATTCAGAAAATTAAGATCATGGCATCCGGTCCCATCACTTCATGGCATCATTAGATGGGGAAACAGTGGAAATAGTGGCTGACTTTATTTTCTTTGGCTCCAAAATCACTGCAGATGGTGACTGCATCCATGAAATTAAAAGACGCTTACTCCTTGGAAGAAAAGTTATGACCAACCTAGATACCATATTAAAAAGCAAAGACGTTACTTTGCCAACAAAGGTTTGTCTAGTCAAAGCTATTGTTTTTCCAGTAGTCATGTATGGATGTGAGAGTTGGACTATAAAGAAGGCTAAGCGCCAAAGAACTGATGTTTCTGAACCGTGGTGTTGGAGAAGACTCTTGAAAGTCCCTTGGACTGCAAGGAGATCCAACCAGTCTAAAGGAAATCAGTCCTGAATATTCATTGGAAGGACTGATGCTGAAGCTGAAACTCCAATACTTTGGCTACTTGATGCGAAGAACCGACTCATTGGAAAAAACCCGGATGCTGGGAAAGACTGAAGGCAGGAGGAAAGGGGACGACAGAGGATGAGGTGGTTGGATGGCATCACCAACATGATGGATATGAGTTTGAGTAGGTTCTGGGAGTTGGTGATGGACAGGGAGGCCTGGCGTGCTGCAGTCCATGGGGTCACAAAGAGTCAGACATGACTGAGCAACTAAACTGAACATAGAAAATAACACACACACACACACACACCCATGAAAATGTAAAACCGGACACAATTATTACTTGGAAAATCAAACACAAATGCTACCAGAGTACAATACTTCATTTAAGTGGGAGTGATGTTTTCACAGTAATATTAATGTAACCCCTGAGTAACAATTAAAACAAAATCTGTGACAGGAGTATTTGGGGAGGTAGTTGGGGGTGGTAACTGAATTGCGAGTACCCCCATGTGCATTTGTGATGATCCTGGGGTGGTTTTTGAAGACAGTTAAATCCTCATCTTTCACAGTTGAATGTGAATAATGTCTAAGACAAAAAAAAAAGTAGCAGTTGCATAGAAATATTATTTTGAAATAATGACATAACTATCAAAAGATGTAGCTGAATGAGTAGAAAAGGGTGCCTTTGGCATTTATGATTCAGAGATGGGGAAATGACAAGCAGGACATGATTCAAAATTTGTGGTTGATGCTGTAAATTTTATTTTATTATTTGAGTTTTGAAACTATGATTTTCCTTACTATCTTTCCTGTAGGGCATGTGAGTACTCTGCTGGTAAGATTTCTAATGATTATGTTTCAATACGATCTCAAAGGAAAAAAGACTTTTAGCATAATCCTCAAAATTTTAGTAATGGTTGTGTGGGATTCCAAGTATTTTTCTGTTTTTTATTTTCTCAGCTCTACAAAAATGATTCAATAGCATTCATTGTATTTATATTGAGAAAAAATTGATGAAAATTAGTACAGAAATGAATTTCTGTCACCTAAATACAACTACATAGTATTATGCATTGCCAAGAAAAGATAAGAAAATGCTTCAAAATATGGTATAGTGAGAGTGATTTGATTTTTTTCTACTTCATTCTTGTTTTGAAGGAAAAATGTTCATTCAAAATAAGCAAGCTTGGTCCAAAATTTCCTGGCTTTCAAATAAGAGAAATCACACTGGGCTCCGTAATTCTCAATATTTGACAGAAGACAACATTTTGGTCCTTCAGATATTAGATCTAAGAAGCAAAACCTGAAGTTTGAATATGATTATTTTAGGGCAATACAAACAGAGTAACATACAGAGATGTTTCATATTTTTGAAATTCACTATCCAGTAGGAGACAATGAAATGAAAACAAAGGTGGCTATTTTTAAAAAGGAAAGTGACAGTCCTTCAACTATGGATCGATTCAACAATTGCTGTGTTTGTTATGAGTGAGTCACTGGGGATTTATCAGGGAATGAAGCCAAGTGCGCATCCTTGTGAGTGGAGCTTACATTCTAGTCTGGGCAGCAGACAATATACGAACAAATAAATACATGAACTGTGAGCTGTTGTGAAGTGCTGTGAAACCAGTAATGCAAGAAAAGGGCCAGGCCAGAGTGGGGTGGGGTCTATTTAATGAAGGTACTTAGGGAAGGCTTCTCAGATCTAGTCATCTGAGCAGACCCCGGAATGGACTAAGGGCATGAACGAGCGAGAAGGAGCATCCCAGACAGAGGCAACAGTGCATGGGAAGTGGTCACACGGATATCTTAGCCCAAATCAGGGAACAGAAAGGAGGCCAGGGTGGCTGGAGAGGAGGGGAATTTGAAATAAGAACATGGACAAGAGAACGAAGGGGTAGTATATAATGTATGGCCAGTTGGGCCATTGTGAAGATTTCGGATTTCCCCCCAAGTGAGATAAGAGGTCATTAGAAGATTTTCAAGGAAAGCAACATGGCCTGAGTTAGGTTTAAACTCATCACACTGGCTGCCATGTTGAGATGCAGAGAGACAAGGGTGGAAGTAGAGAGACCAAATGGAAGTTATTGAAATAAATCTGAATGAGTAGTGGTGGTGGTGGTGGATATAAGGAGAAGTATTAGTTTCTGGATTTTTTATAAAGATACAGCCAACAAGACTTGCTTATGGATGCAGTATAAGGTGAGAGAGAAAGGACTCCAAAACAGACATCAAGGCTTTGGGCCTGAGCAACCACAAGTCTGGAACAGTTATTTAGTGAGATAACGAAGACTGGAGAAAGGGAAAATTGGGTGGAGAAATATACTAATATTCAGCTATAGTTAATATAGTATGTATGCATATATGTGTCATCTAACAGTTCACACTGAGGGATTTCATTTGCTTTCTTAATCTCAAAGCTGAGCTTGGCAACCTCAGGACATCTGCCAGCAAACAATAATTAGGCAGGACCACCCATCTACTTAAAACTTTTGGTGGTGGCTTGTTCTGTCACTCTAGTCCCAGTTAGTTATTTGCTACCCAAAGGCTCGACTTTTCTGTTTACGCAGGTTTTCCACATGTAACGATCATCTGCTTTAAAATTTATCCTGCCCATGACCCTGATGTAGGCTGAGATAACTGTATCCTAAAATAGCTTTTACAAATATTTTGGCCAACATTTACTGTGACTTTGTTTTATCTAAAACACTTAGAATTTGTGTGAGATACAGTTGCGCGCAGGGGAATATTCCTGACCTAGTTTTCTGACTGTGATTTATGGGTCAATAAGCTCCTTAAACAATGGACTATAACATCGCTGGCTGCAGGGGACACTTACTGTTACATGCTCACTGCTGCAGAATGGATGGGCTTCCAGCCTCAGGCTGTTAAAGGTGAGGGTGACCTGCCTCCCTTCCTGCACAGTGATTCTCCACTCACACATCCAGCCATGAGGGTTAGGGTTCCAGTAGTTGGGAGAAGTGAATGTTCCAGAGGGGGCCTGGAGATCCCCACCACATGCTGAAGGGAAAACAAAATAAAAACAAGAAAACTTCCAATTTGATCCTGTAAGGAATGTTCTCAAAACTAAAGCATTTTTTTTTTATTGCCCCACTGGACAAAATTATTGCTCTTATTTATCATTTTAAGTATGCGAGGACTCTTTCTGATATTTAATACTTAATCTCTGCTTCCATGGATCATAGAGCTTCCCTGGTAGCTCAGCTGGTAAAGAACATGCCTGCAATGCGGGAGACCTGGGTTTTGATCCCTGGGTTGGGAAGATCCCCTGGAGAAGGGAATGGCAACCCACTCCAGTATTCTTGCCTGGAGAATTCCATGGACAGAGGAGCCTGGTGGGCTACAGTCCATGGGGTCGCAAAGAGTTGGACACAACTGAGCGACTAACACTTTCATTTTCTTTCCATGGATCATATTGATAGTTCACTGGCAGCCGTTTGTCATCCTGACCGAAGAACTATGAGAGACCAGTAAGCATAGTAACCATCAGAGTCTGAAAGCAGAAGGCTCAGATGATCATCCAGTGTTTTCACAAGGTCTTTATTTCACCTGAGCTTGTCAGGGTGCTTGGAACACAAATCCTAAATGACTGGAGCAATAAGGGACTGGTCTTCTTCAGATGAGATGTGGTGAAGGCTCCTGTCTCCTCACACCGTCTCAGCATTAGATCCTTTTCTTTGTAGCACTGATTGCATTTGTGACTTTTCATTTATTGGTGTGACTATCTGATTACTGTCTACCTCCCGCTAGACTACTGAGGTTCAAGGAGACACAGGCCATAGTGTCTTGTCCAGCTTATTTAACACCAGTGTCTAAGTAGAGTGTCTATTCAGTATAGCTGCTCAGAAATATAATATGTATTATATTAATACATATTACTGGATTGGCAAAAAAAATTCATTCATTTTTCCCATAACAGCTTACAGAAAAACACAAATGAACTTTTTGACCAACCCATTATTTATATATATGTAACATGAGATATATATATGTGTGTGTGTGTGTATGTTTATTTTTTTAATGAATCAACAAACTTACCTTCCAAGCTGGAGTCAAACCGTAGTCTGAATCCTGAGGCAGAGAGAGAGTCATCTGTGACAAACCTGACCAAAGCAATGTTGCTGGAAGTGTCTATGCTGTTGGGAATGCTGCTTCCACAATATCTGCCCAATAAGGTACCTGTGCGAGTGAAATAAGTATGAAGCATGTGTAAGTCCAGGGGGTTGATTTCACTTAACCTCTACTTGAGATATTTGGCATTCCCGAAGAAAATAATCATAGATAAGACCCTGCCCAGGAAGAAATGGTGACCTCTGGCAAGAGAAGTAGGTCAAACATGAATACAAATTGATATATGCAAATATATGAAGATGAGTGACAACCAAGAGCATCAGCACAACAAGGAAAGTTGGCTCAGTTGGTTGTGAAATGGTCCAAGGAGACAGAGTGGGAAGCATCCATCTCAAATCATTTCCACAGTGTATCACCCTTTTTTTAAATTAAAAAACAAATTTTTTTTGGCTATGCTGGGTCTTCATTATGGTACACAGGCTTCTCTAGTTCCAGTCCATAATGTGGAGGCTTAGTAGTTGTGACATACAGGTTTAGTTCCTCCGTGGCATGTGGGATCTTAATTTCCTGACCAGGGATCAAACTCATGTCCTCTGCATTGCAAGGCGAATTCTTAAACACTGGACCGCCAGGGAAGTCCCAGTATATTATCCTTTCCTCTCCTTCCCTTATAGGATGCCCCTCAAATATCTAGCTGTGGCCCTCTAAGGTTCCCTGGAAGAGGGTGCCTTCCCACACAGTGCTCTCTCAATGTGGTCCCAGGATAAGCTCTACAATGACCCCTGGGCTTTGGACACCACTTTTTCTTGGGTAAGGAATGAGGAAGAGAAATGCTGAACAGTCCATAGCTAACTGATCTGCACTTCTTCGCAAGAAACAAACTCTTGCCTTTCTTGGAAATGAGGGTATTTCAGAGGCTGAATGAGTAACAAGTGAAAATAGACACCTCCCAAAAGACAGCAGACATATTTCACTGACCAGATGTATGGTTTTCCCAGATTTCCACAAAGTCTCGTTCACAACCAGACGAATTCTGAAGGTTAAAGTCTTCAAAGTGGATGGTGAGATAGTGTCCCATGGGTCCCCGGAGACGCCACTCACAGAATAAGTCATCTGTGTATGGCTGTGTTGGGTATCCGTTGCTCTCAATGACACCACTTTGCCCTGTCACTGTTCCCCCACATGGGGCTGCAGAAAAAGAGCAATATGCTATTATGGTTTCTTTGAAATTTAACCAGCACATTTAAAAGATTTTCGGTGCCAAGTGAATATAAACTGAAGTTTTAAAAATGGTGGAAATGTTTAGTTTGTGCTTCCTTTATTGTATGAAATCTGCTATTGATATACAGAGAAATGATACCACGTCCAATCGAATAATGGGAAAGGGAAGATGGAAAGACTGCTGAATGGCATATGCTGTGATGTCTCATGAATTCTCTCAGGACAGTGTGTAAGAGCTACTAATTGCAAGCAGGTTTCTTTCCAGAACTAACTGGTAGATTGATAAGAGCTGCCGAGCAGCCTGGGTTGGTGATTCTGAGTTTAAGCTCAACTAGAAATGATGCTGTGGTTGATTAGTGATGCCTGTGATTTCTAGTTTATCAAATAAACGTGCTACTGCAGTGATGGGTACCTCAGGGCCTTGAAAATTATTAGCCTATTATTTCTTTTCAGCTGGATGTGAGAGACTGAATTATATGCAATTTTCCTCAGGCTATAAAAGACCTATGGTATAGGTTAAATATTGTTACAACCAGGCTTTTTGAGTTTTGAGTGTATCAAATATGTTTGGTTTGTGTTCAGACCCATTAGATACTAAATTCTATGTAACTGTGACCATCTTGTAGTGAATCTTCAGAATGCATATTTATTATTTATTTTTTAAAGGAAAGAAATCAAAACACTGAGTGAATGACTTGGTGCTAGAGATTTAATTATCCATTAATGTTGAGGAGGTCAAAGTCATGGTTCTAAAGACTAGTCATCTTATTGCTAAACAGTTTTACTGTCTAAAGTAATATTACACACATTTTATGACAAGATGAAGAAACAAGAATTTAACGGAATATGTAAAAATCAAGAGAAAAATAAAAATATTCAAGTATACAAAAAAGTGTTTTGAGATGGAAATTAAAGTAAAAATTAAAATTGATAAATGACTTTAAACATTCACATTCCTTACTTATATCATTAAAATAACCGTTAAAATTAGGCAGATAGACTTCTTTAAAAATGGCATTTTTTAAAAGTTTTAATGCAATCATTCTGTCACGACTTTCTTATTGAATAGAAAAATGTCATTACCTATAGAATACTTGGCTTTGAATCCCACATGAGTGGGGCTGTTGTCAGACTGGAATCTCAAATACATCACCTCTCCTGAGGACAACTGACTGATGGGCAGAGATGTCCCACAAAACTTGGAAAGTATTGGTGCGTTTGAATCAGCTCCATCTCGCAACTCAAGGTAACTGGACGTACAGCTAAAGCGGAAAGAAGATTCTGTTTAATTTGTAAAGTCAATGGCTTTGACATATTTTGATAGTAAAGACTTCACTTTCTCCAAGGGCATAATGAAATCATTATTTCTGTAGCACCAGGTACACGTCACAGCATAGACACTACAATAGAGTCTATATAAGCGGCGGGTCACTTCAAAATGCTGTGTAATATCTTTCTGAGACCTAACACACTCCAGTTTGGAGCTCAAAAAGACAGGTTTTATATTTACCACACTGAAGGTTTTATATTTACTCACCTTCCACATTCTGTTAGTCCTAGAAACGTAAAAGCCATTCTCAAATCAAGCCCTTGTTGTATATTTATTTGTTTAGTCACTCAGCCATGTTCAACTCTGAGACTCCATGGACTGTAGCCTGCCAGGCTCCTCTGTCCACGGGGTTTCCCAGGCAAAAATACTAGAGTGGGTTGCCATTTCCTTCTCCAGGGGATCTTACCTACCCAGGGATCGAACCTATGTCTCCTGCATTGGCAGGCAGATTCTTTACCACTGAGCCAGCAGGGAAGCTCCAAAATCAACCCCTAGGAGTTTCAGAACCCAAGTATTTTGCTTCACATGGTGTTATGACATGTTTCGTGAGACAAAGATGAACTCTGTTGACAGCTCTGTAAATGGAGCTTATGGAGAATCTCAGCCAGAATTCTGTGTCCATAAAAGAGGACAGGTATTTACCCAATCTTTCTTGAGAAAGTCAACCAGCCAATTAATGCTCAGTGAGGGGACAGTGGCATTATATTAAGAGTCCAGAACTTGTAAACAAAAGCTCTCGTACCTAAGCTTTGCACCACACATGCATGCATACAAGTGTATACATGCTTTTGCTAAACTAAGAGAAAAATACAGAGCTTTTTTCAATCTCTTTGTGTTCAACATAGTAAGACATAAACTATCTGGTTTGTAATCTTTAATGATTCTCATTAAACAAGAGATTGGGAAATTGGACTCTCCTTGTTTCCAGTCCTGTTTCTAACCCTAGTGACCCCTGGTGTCACAAATTTCCATTTGTTAAAGAGGCATTTTATCATTTATGACACCGAGTGTGAGGCTGGGCAAATAAATACTTGTCTACCAGAGACACTCTATTTTTCCTGTGGGAGGAAGAAGATATGACATAAATCTCAGACAGCCGTCCTCCGAGTCTCTTGGAGGATGTGCACAGGGTCAGGAGGGATGGTATCTGTTTACATCATCTGCTCAGCTGATGGGAGGGTGACGGGCAGGCGAGGTTTTCAGCTTGAGGTGTTAACATTTCCCTTCCCCATCCCTAGATTTCCTTTGCAGTAAATGCTGCTGAGAAAAGCAGATGGACAAGAACCTACTGTATAGCACAGGCAACTGTTTTCAACATCACGTAATAACCTATCATGAAAGAGAATGTAAAAAAAAAAAGTATATATATATAACTGAATCACTTATATATTATAATACTATATTTATATTATACTTATAAATACATCTGAAACTAACACAATATTGTAAATGAACTACATTTCCATAAAAACTTTTAGAAAAGACAAAAAAGCAGTAGAAAACTGTTCTCAAATGTGACAGCTAAAATAAATACCAACTCTGGATAGCAGGAAAATTAAACAAAGGTGACCTACTTGGGTGTTACTTCGATGCTGAACTGGCCTTCAAACTGCAGCCGTATGAGTTTCCCGGGAGGAGCAGCTATAAGCCAAATACAGTCAGCGTGCTGGGGATAATGGTCAGGATGGTTGGGGGAGGTTACGTATCCAGTAGAATCAGCATTATGGATGTAAATATTGCCCCCACAGGCTGTCAGGAAATACAGGGAAATCAGTCTACCGTCTGGAGAAAGAGGATGCAGGCAATGGCCACATTCATTTTTAAAAGTCTCTTTATCTTTATTTCCAATCCCAATTTCCTTTCATCTGGAATGATCCTCCTTTTCTTTTTAAGCAAATACATTCTGAATTTGCTATCAAGGGAGCTACCACATGTGTCATTTTTTAATTTGCTAAACCATATATTCTCAGCAGAAATTTCACTCCTCCTTAAAGCCAATCAACTATGCAATGGTTTGATGGTTTGCACAGTGTGAAACCCTTTGTAAATGTTCAATTAGTAAATTAAAGTATCAATTAATCCAGTGACAAAGAAAGCATCAAGCACAGGGACACAGAAATCTCATTGACCATATACAAGGATGTTCTTGGAGGATGATGGGGTAGAATGAGGCTAATTTGATGCCAAAAGTTGTTCACTGAATAACATGTGTTAAAAGCTGAAAAACAGGAGTGGCCAAGAAGTAGAAAGTGGTAGAAACACAGCTAGGGAAGTAGAGTTGACTATAGTTGGGGGAGATGCTTGAATCAGAAAACTGAGATCAATAAGAGTGATCATATTGCAACCAGTTTTGAAATCTTAAAAGACTTAAGACTTTTAAGTCTAATATTAAGGCAGAAAGATGGGGAAGTGGTGATAACCAATGATGATAACCATTCTTTCGTGAATAGAGGACCCACAAAGCAATGATAGAATTATAGTGTTTGCAAATAGACCCTTAGTGTCTATGAATTCCCACTAAATATTGACTTTGAAAATATAATTCAAGACAGTCTACCTGGGTAAAGTTGGAAAAGCAGAGTTCTGGGTCTACTTACTAAACACAAGGCACTAGGACTCTGTAAAGTCTCAGGGCCATGTGAAATCCTGACCATTCACAACTCAGCACCAAAGCTGAGCATGGAGACAGCGAGGGACAAGAAACTTGCTGCCTAGCAGGTGGTGCTGCTGGTGTCACAAAGCTGTGTTGTTAAAGGCTCCCTCCAAGCACCAGCGTTACGTGTGCTGGGAAGAGAGGAAAGGATGTTCTGGTGGTCATGGAACCTGCTGGAGGGATGAGATGATTTTCTATGTCAGCTGGTGGATATTTATTTCCTCTCCTCTTCCCATTTCCTTAGAGTAGGAAATTATGCTGATGTTTTAAATTCTCATATTTTAGAGAATGTGCCATAAAACATATGGCTTCATTTAGATGAATATATATTTTGAAATATATCCAGGAATCTGAGACTGAGGTCATACATAGGATTAAACCAAAATTAGAATTATCTCATTTTAAGGGACCAAAGACTCACTCCCTACTGACACTGCTCCCTCTCTTTTTTGAAGCTTGTTTATTTATTTATTCAATTAAATATTATCTAAAGTAAATGTCACAAAAATCAAATCATTATAGCAGAATTAAATAGAATTACAATCAAGTGTAATTAAGTCAAGATCATTAATGGGTAATAATAGAATCAAAGGATTATACATTCATCTAAAAATAAGCATACAAATGATTACAAAACAATGTAATTATCATTCTTACAAGGTTTATGCAACCAAATATAACATTTTATAATGGAAAAGTATGGGGAATTTCAGGGGTCACTAAGATCAGCTCAATTTATACTCATGTAGAAGTTCACTTCGTTCATTTTCTTATACAATCTAAGCCTCATCTTACTTATCTAGAGAATGGGAACAATGAAAAGGTGTAGTCATGATGAGGTAGCAATGCATCCAGAACAAAGTAAATGCTTGATAATAGGTAGCTATTCTTAATAACATCATTATTCTTAGTTCAGAAAAAAAAAACTATATATTTTTTCCTCAAATCTATCTAAACAAGGAAGATCAAGCAATTGCAGGAAAAGTATAGACAAAATTCTCAGTGAAAATACTTACCCAAACTCTTTGCCTCGTATGTGATCTTAAATCCTTGCCCTTCATTACTATTATCAGAAATAAACTGAACAAACATTTGATTATCCGAAGTGAACAGAGTGGACGAAGGGTGACTGCCACAAAAACGACCATTTCCTCCATGGGGACCCAAGGGTGGAGAAGAAAGATCAGGTCCATTTTTGAGCTGAAAAGACAAATCAAAATTGCACAATTACCTTCATACTGATGAAGACAAGGTATACAGGTTTTATCAACTTATAGCCCAAAAGGAAAAATAGCATCTTTTTGTTATGAAGTCTGTACAAGAAGTAATCAGAAAAAGCAGCAAAAAAGACCTACCACCAAGTAATCCCCCTGGTTGCAAGAGGAGTCTCTGTTTGGAATCTGGAAGGGCTGTTCAAAGTGGACAGCAATGGTCAAGCCACTCTGGACCTGGACGTGCCAAGAGCAGTTGAGATTGGGTGTGTAGGTCTCGGGGTACCTGGGTGATGTGATAATCCCCCGGTCTGCATGCAAGTATCCACCACAACCTTGCCAAGAAGAAACAAAGATTGTATTTAGATAACACTGGCAACGGGACTTTGATGCTTTTCCTGTTTGTCTTGAGAATTTTCAGTGTAGGCAATAGAAATGTGATTTGAAACTCACTTGGGACCAAAATGCTGGAAACAATAAGCACAACAAGTACGGATGGAGCACATGCTCCTGGGTCCTCATTGTGCTTTTGTTAGGTAAGATGTAGAAGTCAGCAGGAGAGACAAATCCCCTAACTTTCATGAAGTTTTATAGGCAAGTCAGACACCCACAAACACATATGTAACACGTGAGGTGGTGATAAGTTTACAAAGAAAGATGAATTGGGAATGGGAAAATGGAATTATATTGTCTGGAGCAGTTAGAGAAGGCCACATAACTGTGGTTATACCTGAGCAGAGATCTGACAGAAATGGGAGCTCAACATCCTAAGTGAAGTCAGTCATCTGCCAGCTATCAGGGACCCACTGGAGCATCAGTGTGTGAGTGCAGAAGGCGCACACCACTAGTTAACATGCAGCAGTGGAAATTTATCTTAGGTCCATCTAATTCCAAAGCCCATTGTTTTAAACCAGTCCACAGCCAGCCCCCCTTGACTGTAAGGGTGATCATTTATTTTCAATTGCTCCCTACTCTCTAATAACCATACATAATAGTAGGGAAAATATTCATGTTTAATGCCTAGATTGATAATCTACTTTAAAAATTATATTTTTCAGTTACAAATATGGGGATCTTCAGATACAACACTTTCTGTAGGCTACTTCTTTAATCCAGTTTGGGTTGAAAATGATGGTTGGAATTCACATTTTGTTAAGTGTTCAAATTCTTGATCACACTCCACATGACAGCCTCCCATTTCCTGTGCATCTTCTTGGACTCACCAAATTCATATTTCAAGAGCAGCAAACTCTTCCTGCCAAGCTTTAAATGAATCATTTCAACCAAGGGATTTACAATGATTTCTCCTATATTACTTTGACTGGTTATTTCTTAGACTGAGGATAACTCTGACTTATTGCTCCTCTGCTTTGTTATGGATATGCACTGTCTTCTGGTTCCAGCCATCATCTGGGCTGAAAATATTGTTTTAGATATCTTACTCTTAGACTTATTATGGAGAGAAGATGCCCCACCCAGAAAACTGAAGGTGGAGGATCCTTCTGTACAATGTGACCAGTTTTTTTGTTTGTTTGTTGATCAGGACTTAGTACATGACATCAGGATAACCCCTCCTCCCCAGAGGGTAGGCAGGGACTTGTGCACTCTGATTTATAATCTGTGTCTTGGCATCGAAAAACAAGCAGAGTATGTTAGAGAGACAGCAAGAGACAGGCAAGGTGAGATGAAATCAAACAGAACAAATTAAGAGAATATATTACTCTTGTGGAAGGATGCGTTAAAGCCTGCCCCAGTTACACTGAAGTCCGAGGTGAAGTGGATCACCATGTACTCTCCAGTTGACCGGATGGGTCCAGGGACCTCTCTGCCACAGAGAACGGCTAGCTCCTGGGCCATGCTGTTGTCTCCTATGACCAAGGAAAGGAAATGTCAGTGTGAAAACATGCTGCCTTATGAGTCATCTCCACAACTTATTTACAAAACAGAAAGAGAGAAACAGATGTAGAAAACAAATTTATGGTTACCATAGGGGAGTGGAGAGGAATAAATTGGGAGATTGGGATTAACAGATATACACTACTATATATTAAACAGATAACCAATAAACATCTACTATTAATACATAGCAAAGGGAATTCTACTCAATACTCAATATGGGGAAAGAATCTTTAAAAGAGTGAATATACATATATGGATAACTGATTCACTTTACTATACACCTGAAACTAATACAACATTGTAAATCAACTGTACTCCAATGAAAAATTTTTTAAAAAGAGTCAGCTCCACCACCAGTGCAACCCAGCAGAAGCACCTCATACATTATTCTCAAAACACCCCCATTCCTAGAAGACAACAAGATTATCAGATACAGGTATACTCCAGGGGTTACATCATTCTGGTTTGTAGTGGGGCTGCCTGCCTTTTTCTTTACACTTTTTAATAATGACTTTTTTGGCAGTTCCACTGCCTTTTCAAACACTGGTTGACAGCTCCTCCTGGAACTAAAACTCAAAACAAGAGGATGTAGGACTGGGAAGTAATTGAGGACCAGGGCTGATGTGTGCATCAGACACTAAACTAAGCTATTCTGACTGCTGAAGGTCAAGTATCCAAAAAAACAAAACGTTTGATTCTTCATCTGCAGATCCAATGCTAGTGTTATAAGGTCATTTGCCCACAATTGTGCCTCCACCTTCAGAGGGTTTTTCTTTTTCCTTTTCATTTCTTGGTTGCTCATTGTTTGTTCTGCCATTAAAAGAACACACTTCTGTCCATGTGCAGAAGATGAAAAAAAGCTAGTGTCAGCAAGTGTGCACTCCAGAAACACCAGTGAGAGCTGGGTCACCCCATAGCCCTTTTCCCTTTGGCTTCTCTCAATTGTAAATATTGATCAAAACAGCTGTTTCAGTTAAAGCCTGGATGGAGCAAAGGGGATTATAACAGACTTGGATGCCTTGACTGGGAAAATACATTGCTTTTTTCCCCTAAGGCACAGAATTAATGAATTTCAAACTTAAAAGATACATAGAAATAGAATATAAGACATGAGGAAACTGACCTTTTCACTCAACTAGCAAAATGATTCTTTTTTGACATTGACCACAACCTAAAACTCTCTCGTTACGAGCTAGTTTAGGAAACAAGTTTCCGAATGTAGTGGCACAGCTATAAATACCTAGCATTCTTTAGAGGAGTTCTGACTTCCGGTAACTATACATTAGTTTATCATTCAGAAGTTTATCTGTAACTCCTCTTGCATTTTTATCTTCATTATGCTAGTTTGCTATATATTTCAGCCCAAATCTGTTGACTTAATTTCTAATTATCTGCATCAGAAAATTTTGAAGCTTATTACATGTTGTTAATTATTTCACAAGTGTATATTTTATCTATCAGTGAGACTGAGTTGGGTCTATTGATTTTCATTTCTTTTCTAAAGAAAATTTAAAAAGGAGGAAAGATGATACTTCCTCTGGGCAATGTGCTTAGAGGAGACTGTTGATAGGAAAAAGGTAGAAAGTTATGGTTTACCATATAAACACACATATATGATTGACCTGAGTCTTCACCTACTGCCCAGCTCCTACCCTACAGCAGGAAAGCAAAGATGCTCTGCCATTTGATTTTTCCTCACTGTAATTAGTGGGGGGTCTATGGTTGAGGGGATAAAGGAGACAGGAAAATGCACATTAGACACGTGTGGGCCAATAGCAAACACGTTAGTGTGGTCCAAAAAAATGCTCTGAAGCATTTTTCATTAATTGCCAACATTTAATAACTAGGAAATTTATAGAAAATTCTATGCTTCTTGCATCTTTAGGGAAATAAAATCCATAATGACGAGCCTGCACTCCTAATTCAGTTCAGTTCAGTCGCTCAGTCATGTCCGACTCTTTGCGACCCCATGAACTGCAGCACGTCAGGCCTCCCTGTCCATCACCAACTGCTGGAGTCTACCCAAATCCATGTCCATTGAGTCAGTAATGCCATCCTACCATCTCATCCCCTGTCGTCCCTTTCTCCACCTGCCCTCAATCTTTCCCAGCACCAGGGTCTTTTCAAATGAGTCAGCTCTTTGCATCAGGTGGCCAAAGTATTGGAGTTTCAGCTTCAACGTCATTCCTTCCAATGAACACCCAGGACTGATCTCCTTTAGGATGGACTGGTTGGATCTCCTTGCAGCCCAAGGGACTCTCAGGAGTCTTCTCCAACACCACAGTTCAAAAGCATCAATTCTTTGGCACTCAGCTTTCTTTATAGTTGAACTCTCACATCCATACACAACTATTGGAAAAACCATAGCCTTGACTAGATGGACCTTTGTTGGCAAAGTAATGTCTCTGCTTTTTAATATGCTGTCTAGGTTGCTGTTCTCCAGTTTGACACTTCACTAGATGTCACCTGATGTCTAGGCAGGCACTAAGGTTGCAAGGCCTGTCATGCAGACTAATGCCTCCCCAGCTGTAGAGACCATCATCTGGAGGCAGAGACTAGGGTCAGGAGAGGGGAGCACCTCAGTTGAGTTCATTCAGTCATTCAGTCATATCTGACTCTTTGTAAGCCCATGGACTGCAGCACCCCAGGCCTCCCTGTCCATCACCAACTCCCAAAGTTTACCCAAACTCATGACCATTGAGTTGGTGACGCCATACAACCATCTCATCCTGTCATCCCCTTCTCCTCCTATCTTCAATCTTCCCCAGCATCAGGGTCTTTTCAAAGAGTCAGCTCTTTGCATCAGGTGGCCAAAGTATTGGAATTTCAGCTTCAGCGTCAGTCCTTCCAATGAATATTCAGGACTGATTTCCTTTAAGATGGACTGGTTGGATCCCCTTGAAGTCCAAGGGACTCTCAAGAGTCTTCTCCAACACCACAATTCAAAAGCATCAATTCTTTGGTGCTCAGCTTTCTTTATAGTCCAACTCTCACACCCATACATGACCACTGGAAAAACTATAGCTTTGACTAGATGGACCTTTGGCAGCAAAGTAATGTCTCTGCTTTTTAATATGCTATCTAGGTTGGTTATAACTTTCCTTCCAAGGAGTAAGCGTCTTTTAATTTCATGGCTGCAATCACCATCTGCAGTGATTTTGGAGCCCAAAAAAATAAAGTCTGACACTGTGTCCACTGTTTCCCCTTCTATTTGCCATAAAGTGATGGGACCAGATGCCATGATATTCGTTTTCTGAATGTTGAGCTTTAAGCCAACTTTTTCACTCTCCTCTTTCACTTTCATCAAGAGGCTCTTTAGTTCTTCTTCGCTTTCTGCCATAAGGGTGGTGTCATCTGCATATCTGAGGTTATTGATATTTCTCCCAGCAATCTTGATTCCAGCTTATGCTTCTTCCAGTCCAGTGTTTCTCATAATGTACTCTGCATATGTTAAATAAACAGGGTGACAATATACAGCCTTGATGTACTCCTTTTCTTATTTGGAACCAGTCTGTTGTTCCATGTCCAGTTCTAACTGTTGCTTCCTGACCTGCATCCAGATTTCTAAAGAGGTAGGTCAGGTGGTCTGGTATTCCCATCTCGAAGAATTTTCCACAGTTTGTTGTGATGCACGTAGTCAAAGGTTTTGGCATAGTCAATAAAGCAGAAATAGATGTTTTTCTGGAAGTCTCTTGTTTTTTCGATGATTCAGCAGATGTTGGCAATTTGATCTCTGGTTCCTCTGCCTTTTTTAAAACCAGCTTGAACATCTGGAAGTTCACGGTTCACGTACTGTTGAAGCCTGGCTTGGAGAATTTTAAGCATCACTTTACTAGCGTGTGAGATGAGTGCAATTGTGTGGTAGTTTGAGCATTCTTTGGCATTGCCTTTCTTTGGGATTGGAATGAAAACTGACCTTTTTGGGTCCTGTGGCCACTGCTGAGTTTTCCAAATTTGCTGGCATATTGAGTGCAGCACTTTCACAACATCATCTTTCAGGATTTGAAATAGCTCAACTGGAATTCCATCACCTCCACTAGCTTTGTTTGTAGTGATGCTTCCTAAGGCCCACTTGACTTCACATTCCAGGATGTCTGGCTCTAGGTAAGTGATCACACCATCATGATTATCTGGTTCGTGAAGATCTTTTTTGTACAGTCTTCTGTATATCCTTGCCACTTTTTCTTAATACCTTCTGCTTCTGTTAGGTCCATACCATTTCTGTCCTTTATTGAGCCCATCTTTGCATGAAATACTCCTTTGGTATCTCTAATTTTCCTGAAGAGATCTCTAGTCTTTCCCATTCTATTGTTTTCCTCTATTTCTTTGCATTGATTGCTGAGGAAGGCTTTCTTATCTCTCCTTGCTATGGACCTTAACTGGAGACAGATCTAGAACCCATATGAGAGTTTCTAGTTTAGTTGATCTGGAGTAGAGCACTGAATGTGTATCACTAACAAGTTCCCAAGTGATACTGATGCTGCTGGTCTGGGGGATCAAACAGTAAGAAACACTGACAAGAGGACATGGCCTCCCTCTTCTCTGTTCCATGCAGATCTCGAAGTTACAACTCTGTACATCTTGCACTAAAGCATTAGTCACACCTCTCAGTCCCTGTCTAGCATTATTACAAGGAAAAGATGAAAACTACTAGCCCTTAATTCTACCCATTCTGGGGGCTTCCCTGGTAGCTCAGCTGGTAAAGAATCTGCCGACAATGCGGGAAACCTAGGTTCAATTCCTGGGTTGGGAATATCCTCTGGAGAAGGGAAAGGCTACCTGCTCCAGTATCCTGTCCTGGAGAATTCCATGGACTGTATAGACCATGGGGTCACAAAGAATCTGACACAACTGAGTGAATTTCATTTTTCAACCCATTCTACCCAGAGGTTCAGTAGACATGGAAAACTGAATACATTGAAATTATAAGTACTTTTCATACTTGAATCTTAAAGCCATAGATATAACATATCAGGATTGATTTCCATAGCCTCTAAATGAGAAAGCAGCACAACCTGGAAACTCAGATTATAATTTCCTACTTAAACCAGATGGAATGTTTCCTAATGCTGTGCTGACAAAGTGTGTAGTGTGTGAATTATCTTGCTATGGGAAATTTAATATTTTCCTTGTGTTCTGTAGTTGTTATTGTTGTTGTTCAGTTGCTAAGTTGTGTCTGACTCTTTGTGACCCTGTGGACTGTAGCCCACCAGGCTCCTCTGTCCATGGGATTCTTTAGGCAAGAATACTGGAGTGGGTTGCCATTTACTTTTTCAGGGCATCTTCCTGGACCAGAGATCAAACCTGCATCTCCTGTCCTGGCAGGCTGAGTCTCTACCACTGAGCCACCAGGGAAGCCCGTGTTCTGCATAAATGTAGCCAATCCTAGTATCTCATGATTCCATACAAACTGGATGAAGGTAGTAAACAAGCATGATTATAACTGAATGTAACTAAATATGTGTCAGGGTTGAAACTTGGTAGCTTTTTGCTTTATTTTGCTTTTTAAATGTTTCTCACCATCTCTTATCACAAGTTTATCATAGCTGCATGTGCTATGAGATTCAATGTCCAAGGAAAGGATGTTGAGTTCCACAGTAGAATCTGGAGCCTGGATGAGCCACATACAGTTGGCGCCATTACTGTAGCTTTCAGGCCAGCCTGGGGAGTAAAGAAAGACTGGAGCCTCTCCTGTCTGCAGGAACCCACCACAAGCACCTGCAGAATGAAAAGCAACAGCTTTGAAATACCTCTGGTAGAAAAGTTGGTAGCATTTTAACTTTAAAACCACAATCCTATACTGAAACAACCAAATTCAAACAATTTTCTCAAAGAAATTTATAAATATTTTTACACTGATTCAGACAGCTCTGATTTCCATAATTTTTTGAAAAAAAAAACCACATTATATTCTTCTGTTTTCACCATCATTTTGCCACTTTACCCAGTTATCGAGTGTCTACTATTTGTCAAACATGAAGTAAGCCCATACTATTATAGTTGCTCAGTTTCTTAACCATTTCCCAAAATACAGCTTACTGAGGGAATCTAACAGCTTACAATTTAGGCCACCTTTACCTTGAAACATGACAGCTTACCACCTGCTAAGCACCAAGAGAAGCATTTTTGAAGGCACACTTATAATAACAGAGGAAAAATAAAGGATATTTAATACAGAAGAAAATACTTCTGTCAGTTGATCTTTAACCATTGTGTGTGTGTGCATGGTATTTGCAAATGAAACTTTCAGAGATCTCTAAAGTGATCTCTAGAAACTGTAAGTGTAATGTCTTGTGGATCAAACTCTCGATTATCAGGACTTCCCTGGTGGTCCAGCAGCTAAGACTCAGCTACCAGTGCAGGGGACCTGGGTTCAATCCCTGGTCAGGGAACTAGATTCACATACCCAACTGAAAAAAAAACAAAGATCCCACATGCCACCACTAAAGATCCCACAAGCCACAACCAACAAAGACAGATGATCCTATGTGCTGCAAGTAAGATCTGGAGCAGCCAAATAAATTAATTAATTAAAATAAATGTTTTTTTAAGCCCTTGCTTATTAAGAAAATATAATGGGAAACCAGCACTTTTTGGAATAAACATGTAATCTTTATGTATTTATGAGATTAAAAGAACACCTGAACGTAGGGAGGGAGTGTTTTGAGACTGCAATTATTATTCTTATTCATTTGTGTATTTGGCCTTGATTAGTAGGAATCTTGGAGATATTAGTCTACACATATCAGCCCCTATAAAGAATGCCATTTATTACTACACAGACCTGTCGCAATGGTAGGTAAAGGTCCAACAGAGGCATTCATTGCAAACCACTCCAAAAGGAATCCTCTCCCTGAGATCGAAGAGTCAGAAGAAAACTGAAATGTCAGAGAACTTCCAGTGGAGCTCAAAGAGTCAGTTTGGGTACCACAGTAGGTTCCAACCAGGCGGGAGTGAATGCCAGCCCCATCGTAAATCTGCATGGAAAAGACAGAGAACAAAGCACTGAACTTAGGGAATCGCCTCCATTTTCTTCATAAATAGAAAGTCAAAAGGATAACCTATTATAATTTTATCATAAATAAGCAAACATTACATATAAGGTTTAAAAAGAAAGTATAATGAAGTACAAAATATGATTTCAAATGATTAAATGTATTTTAAAATTATTTCTCATTCCTGCAGAATTATATTAATAAACATGCTCCATGTGATGTAGCTCACTATATGGTTTACAGTAGAATTTGTGGGTAGAAAAGTAGCAACCAAGATAGTTGCATAACAGTGCTTACTGAATGTGCTTTGGGGCCTCAAAGGGAAGAATTAGGAAGAAAGGGGAAAAGTAACAAGAAAAAGGAAAAGTTTCATGAGATAAAGTGGACAGGTGTCCTGAAGGAGCTCACCTGTCCACAGGTAAGTAAAGAAATAGAGTTTGCAGAATTGGCAACAACAGAAGAATCATAGTTTGCATGGGTTCAGCATACTCAAAGCTCAAGAAATCTCTTTCATTTGGTTCAAAATGTTAGATTACCTAGTATTTTGTGACAATTTCCAAATACATAGTCTTGAGCATGTTTAGTTTTCTGCACCCATGAACAGATGCTATCCAATTACACTTTACATCCTTCCCTCCATCTTGTAAATAATTTGAATAAATTTGTTATAAGTGTTATTACAAATTTCTCAATTGAAGCTGTAATATAAGTTCAGATTTCAAATTATCTAATAATTATGTCCAACACACTGAGCATATATCAAGTACTGGATCCTATGTGAAGCATTGTGGACCTAAAATGAATAAGACGGCATCTTGGCCTTCAAGAATCTGATAGTAAAAAAGTCAAATCCATAGAAGCAGAGAATAGAGTGTGGTTGCCAGAAGATGGGTGAGTGGGAGATAGGGAGCTGGTCAAAGGGTACAAAGTTTCAGTAGTGCAAGATTAATAATTCTAAAGATGTAAAGTAGAGCAATGTGACTATAGCTAATAACAGTTCGTTGTAACACTTGACATTTGCTAACAGGGACGATCTTATATGTTCTCATCATACCAAAAGTAAAGAAGATGGTAACTGATATGATGTATGTATCAACTAGCTTGATTGTGATTATTATTTTATAGTGTGTACATATAAAAAGACCCAATTGTACATGTTACATATACACAGTATTTATTTGTCAAATATATCTCAATAAAGCTGGATGAAAAGTAATCTGATAGTGCTTCGGGAATTGGTACAGTAGCCAATGTCTGAACGGCAATTATCACAACTTTTATATTTACATATAAGTACTTATACTTATTTTAAAATGATTGTTCAAATTTTTAGCACTCTAACATAAGAATAAACAGGGTAATGGGATATAAAATAGGATAAATATTTAATTAAGATAAATATACATGCTTAGACAAGCCCAACAGAAAAATTACAATAATGCTGAAAAAAGTTAGCTACAGAATCAAAACTAACAAATATAATACTAGAATTACCATTGTTTGGGTAACCTAGCAGGGTTATTCTTTGTGTAGGGTAGACCATCCACTATGCTTTGCAAATGCTTGAATAGACAATAACTTGGATCTATCATTGCCAAAAGCAATTCACCAAAATGTATAGACATCAATTGCTCTTAAAAACTCACCTTCAATTTGTCATAATAGCAGTTAAGTGTGCCCTCCATGTCCATCTCCAAGATTCTGGCATGAACAACCTGAGATTCTTCCACATTCACTATCCACTGGTAATTGGAGTTGTGGGGGTAATTTCCAGGCCACAAGGGAGAGGCAATTTTCCCATGAGTTCCCACAATGTTATCATTGCCAAATACTAGGAAGGAAAACAGGCTAGTAAATTAGACCTACTTAGAACAGCTTTTTAATCAAATGAAAGAAACAAAAGGCAAGGGGGTGTTAAAAAGGATGGACTTTTAATTGACTGCAATTTATTTTCTCAGCACTGAAAGAAATACTGCTTCCCTTGTGGTTTCTCTACTATCTATTAATTCCTTGGAAAAGAGATGATATTGTGAATGGAATTCCATCTCCCAGGAAGGCTCCTCAGTGTGAAAACAAGCAATAGCTTCCCATGTAAAATGGGTTCCCAGACCCCAGGGGACGTGGAGACAAGGGAAGGGGCATTACCAGCCCTGTTCTATAATTTTGGTTTATTTTATTTTGTCTTACAAAAGAATGAAACATATGTTTTAAAATTATAAAAGAGAAACTGACATTTTGAATCACATGTAGAATAACTCATTATGAAAAAGTTGAGTTAGAAAATAAAAATATTTCATACTTTATCTTATTAGAAAAACATCCTGTTGTTAAAACATCTGAGCACTTAGGAGTATCCTAAAGTAATACTAAATGTTTTTAATTAGACGACTATAGAGTTTAAAGCATCAAATGAAACACATTTGACATAAGAATACCAAACTGAAACCAAATTATAATAATAAAAAAAAACTCTTTTAATACACTATCATAAAAAAGTTTAACTTAAAATTAGGTGGATACTAGAGCTTAAAAAGAATATTAGAGTTACTGAGAATGCTCTCCCTGGCTCCTTATCAGCCATTCATATATAATTTAGTTTTTCTTATAAATTATAAAGTAATTCCACAGAGACAATAAATAAATTGTTTTTAATGCATCATTGAAACCCCTGCTATCCTTCCTAGTTTGTAGGACACCTTCTGGAAGCCATCACTAAAACAACCAACTCACTGCTGGCAAATGCAGCCTGGAAGCCCACGCCACTGCCGGAGCCATCAGAGACAAATCTGATCCACAGAATGTGCCCAACAGTGGATGAATAATTGAGGGGGAGGGCGTTTCCACAGTATCGTCCCACCAGGCGCCCAGTGGCGTTCCCTTCCCGGACCTCCACAAAATCTCTGCTGCAGTCCTGAGACTCCTCCAACTGGAAGGCTCTGATTGGGAAAAAAAAAAAAAAATTAGGGGTTAAATTGATCAGATAAATTTGGGGATTCTCCTCAGTTACATGCTGAGTTGACCTGTTCACTTGTCAACTTTTTTTCTTTAACTTCAATCAAGTGTCTTTTAGCTAACTCAAAACATCTATTTTACTCACTTAACAATGCAGATGAAAAATCTTACATAGAATATTAGCTAAATGAATCCATCAATCTGTAAGATATGTAAATTTTAATCAGGTAAATTTTATGTAGTTTAAACTCACAAGTTTAAGATGAAAAGATCTTAGAACAGTTTGTCATACACACACACACACACACACATACACACACACACACACACACACACAGATTAAAAGAGAAAAATAGATCCAAAAATACACAAAGGGAGAATCAATGTTTTCTGCACAAATGCAGAAAAGTGCTTGATAAAACTGAAGACCCACTCATCATAAAAACTCTAGAAAATTAGAAATAAAGGGGAATATTCTCACTGGATAAGAGCTACCCACTTCTAAATATACTTAGAGGTAAAAGTTTTTAAACATTTCTTTTAAATAAGAAATAACACAGGAAAGCCTGCTCTCATCACTTTGTTGCATGATATACGGAAGGGTTCTTCAGGGCAGTAAGTCAGGGAAAGGCAGAATGGCTGTAAGAACTGGAAGGCAAGTGCTACCAATCAATATTTAAGAGCACTCGCTTATTCATAAATATCCACCAAGTGCCTTTTCTAGGCACTGAAGATAGAGAAGCACATAAGACGCAAAATTTTTGACATTCTAGAAAATAGAATGGCTGCTGGATAAGATAACAGGCAAAAATTAATATGGTTTCCTTATACCAGCGAACAAAAATTCAGGAACTGTACCTAAGTCAACATTCACACAACAAATACTTGTCTCTCTATTATATTGGGACACTGGGACAAGATAATGAAGAAAATAATGTTCCTTCCTTTGGGAAACTTATGTTCCGAGAAGTAGATAATAAACAAAGAAATAGAAATACTGTGAGGCAGTGATAAATTCTAGGAGGAAGAAGTGCAGTCATTAAGAAAGGTTATTTTAGGTAAGGTGGTCAGGGTGCATCCGTAATTTTTAAACAGATGCCATTTTTAATAGCAATAAAAAACAAGATGCCTAGGAATAAATGTAGCAAAATATCTATAAGACTTTCATAGAAAAAATCTAAACTTTTAGTGAAGGATCTAAAAGGAGACTGAATAAATGGAGAGATATTCCAAATTTAATATGAAAAGTCTTTAATATAAAGATTGTTCCAAAATCAATCTATAAATTTAGTACAATTTCAGTAAAATCAGTAAGCATTACTGCACTTATGCAAAGAATAAAACAGAAAGCAGTATTATGTAGTGTGTATGGAGACAGGGGTATGGCATCACCACCGACTCAATGGACATGAGTTTGAGTAAACTCTGGGAGTTGGTAGTGGACAAGGGAGGCCTGGTGTGCTGCAGTCCATGGGGTCACAAAGAGTTGGACACAACTGAGTGACTGAACTGAACTGAACTGATATATATACATAAAATATACATACAATAAAAGTATATAAACTTGCATAGAGGTGATAAACATAAAATTCAAAGCACCAGTTATCTCTGTGAGGAGAAAGTATGGGAATATGGATGGGGAACCTTTGCTGTCCAGTCATATTTTAATCATTTAAAATTATTTTTTAAATAAAAAGGTAATTTAGTGATTTTTTAAAAAGTAAATGAAGTGAGTGCACACTGTTCTTTTTTCAGAAGTAATTAATTTTTGCTGAGAAGGACAAGATAAAGAGAGGAAGAAAGAATGGCTTAGCAAGATTTAAAAAACTGTTGAACTTCCCTGGTGGTCCAGTGGCTAAGACTCTGCGCTCCTGATGTGGGAGACTCAGGTTTGATCCCTGGCCAGGGAATTAGATCGCACATGCCTCAACTAAGGGTTCACATGCCAAAACTAAAAAAAAAGATGCATGCCACACTGAGACCCAGTGCAGTCAAATAAAAATAAATGAATTTTTTAAAAAAGAAAGAAAAGAAACTCTTGGGAAGGGGGGAAAGGTCTCCAGAAGAGAAAACTTACTTCCCTGCTGTGTACCTTTCCGGTTACTGCTCAACTTGAGCAGGATTCCCCATGACAACGGTATGCCAGCGCCCTTCAGGGTCTCTGTCTCAACTAACAGGTTAGGATGCTTCAGGAACAGCTGACTGGCCTGGAGTTACTGGGACCTCATGCCCCACCAAGGGATCAAATGTATCAGGCACACCTCTGAGGCTTCACTGTCAACCAGAGGACAGGAGCAAACTGGTCAGCTCTGCTCCACTAACAGCTTGCCAAGCCAGATACTAGCATTGGTAAGTCTCCAGCAGGACAGTGACCTTCCCTCTCAATAATACCATCAAGGTGGGTTATTACCGTGTAGATCACCTGGGTCTACATTTCAGGCTGTTTTAGCAGACTTTCCTGGTGGCTCAGTGGTAAAGAATTTACCAGTCAATGCAGGAGACTCAGGTTGGGAGGATCTCCTGGGAAAACAAACGGCAACCTACTCCACTATTCTTGCTTGGGAGATCCCATGGACAGAGAAACCTGGCGGGTGACAGTCCATGAGGTTGCAAAAGAGTTGAACACAATTTAGCAACTAAACAAGTGATGTAACTGAGTAGCAGAAAAAACCAGGAACGATCCACATCAGGCTAAATGAACCACACATTTGTCTTACCTCCACTGTCTTCCTTGACAATTTAATGCTTCATGAGACAGTTTATATCTATAATCTATCTCAATTACCAACTGAGAGTTGGTGATGGACAGGGAATCCTGGTGTGCTGCAGTCCATGGGGTCACAAAGAGTCAAACTCGACACGACTGAGAGATTGAACGGAACTGAACCGAACAATCAGTTTTGGCAAATAATTGTTCTGAATCTATCCTTAGGATGGTCGTCAAGTTTGGCTCTTAAATTCAGGCTCAGTTTTATTACCAATAATATTATCAACAATGTAAAATGTGCTAAAATTGCATTCTGATTCTCATAAAAAAGAGAAGGTGATTATTTTTCTCTACAGGTGATTTACCAAAACCAGAAAGTGTTTAGTCACTCAGTTATGCTTTTGAAACTCCTTGTGTAGCCCGTTAGGCTCCTCTGTCCAGGGAATTCTTCAGGCAAGAATACTGGCGTGGGTAGCCATTCTCTTCTCTAAGGGAATCTTCCCAATCCAGGGATTGAACTTGGCTCTCCTGCATTGAAGGAAGATTCTTTATGGTCTGAGCCACCAAGGAAACCCAATTAACACAAAATTGCCCCAAAATCTTTTCTAGTCAAAATGTTGCATTTGGTCCAGCAACATTAGCATCACCTCAGAGCTTGTTTGAAATAAAGCATCAGGTCCCACCAACCAACTGAATCAGAATATGAATTTTAATAAGATCCCAGATGATCAACATGTACATTAAAGTTTGACCCAAGGGTCCAGAAGATCACTAAGTGCTGGGTTTTTCTGTTTTTGTACCAGACTGGTGCAATCCAATGCTAAATGTCACAAAAGGCTTTTCATTAGAAACAATGGTAGGATATCTGTTAGAATCAAATTTAACTTTAAAAAAAAGTTTTATTGTTCTTGGAAGTTTCTGTTTTAGGCCAGTTCATTTTATAAGCAAACCTATCCTCTTTCCAAAACTTTGGCTCAGATCTGCTAGTAAAAATATGATGTGGAACAAAAATAGTATGATCTCTGTTTCTCATTATCTCATTCTGATTTTTGAACCAAGATCAATCACATTGTAAAAGGACTCTGCCAGCATAAAATACACTTTCTGCTAATTCCTTTAAATATCTGTTTTATAAAAAAATTCTTTGGGGGTTTTATTTCCCCCCCTCCTTTTGTGTTACAGATTCAACCATAATTCCTCCAGTTCTTTTCCCTACTCAATTTCACCACAGTATCCACAATCCAAACCCCATGTTTTAGAACTTGACATATTCCATATGCTTCTCCCCCACCCCAAGGGAATGCTTCCAAGTGCCCATCTGGATATAGTTTAGACCAGGGCAGAAATAACTCAGAGGCCTTGCCATAAAACCCTTCTCATTATCATCTGCATAAAGAGGAACATCTTGTATTCCACAAATTATACTTTAAAAATGAAACTCAAGCAAAGAAGAGAAAATAATCAAAATTAACTTCTCATGGATGAGAAGAAAAAAAGATGAAGCATTAAGATTTGTTTATACAATAATCAGGATTTAGTGGCTATTAAAGAATAAAATGGATGAAACTTGCTTTTTGTGTTTATCTTCTGTCCCCTAGGAAGAGCTCAGTGTTGTTCATTTAATTTTAATTTTGAACTGCCAAACAAGAGACTTTAGAAATGGCAGGGTGAGAGAATTAACATTCATTGAACATCAGGCGTGCATCAGCCCTGTGTTGTACATTTAAAATTTAACATATATAATCATAACTATGGCCCTATATGGATAAGATTATCCCCAAAGATGAAATGAATCTCTCTAGGTTTTAAAAAAATAGCTCTTGACATTAACTTCTTAGTAACTTAACAAAAAATGGGATCTTGTCTGTCTTGAACATTCCCAGTACCTGGCCCAGTTCCTGATAACTGCTGAACGTCAGATTGTTTAAGAATGTGAATATGGTAAAGACCAAGAGGAAAAAAACAAAAACAAAAAAGCCCTTTAATTTAGCAATTATGAAGCTTAGTAAGCTATGTGAAGGACTTTGGACTTATCATAAGAACAATGTTCACATTTTATTCATCATTGGCTATAAAGTATCTATTATGAGAGTAAATTGTGCTTTATATATGAAGCATCTAACATATGTGTAACAAATGCTTACCTGTATAAAGTAGGGGCTTAATAAATGTTTGTTGAATAAAAAATACATATGGATATATACATAGCTGTATGTGTATATATATGTTTTATATATATATATATATATATATATATATATATATACTTATATTTCT